ATAAAATAAAATCAAATAAAAACATACATTTTAACCTTATTTGATTTGGTGTTGTAAGACAAGCGACGACGATAAGTTAATCGTTGGACCATTTTTCTAGATAGATTTTGTTTTTAAATGATCTTAAAAATAAATAAATATTTTTAGTATTCTTGTTTTTTTTCCATAGAAAGAACTTGCGACAAGTTTAATGAAAAGAATAAATAAACAGATAGATTCAATATATATTTTCATTGGTTAAGAATTAATAACGAATGAAAATAAGATGCGAATCATCGAACCTCGCTCAAAGTGCATTTGTATGTTAGTAGATCTTTATAAAGGATGTTACTTAGTAATCAGTATTCATGAATGGTATTCATTATATTGAATGATATTATAGATTTGTTCTCTCTGTTTTTAATGGCTACACGTTTTCAAGGAAAAACTGTACCTAGTGGTCGATTAACTCCATCAAATTCAGCATCATCATCAACAATAACAAATTCAACTATATCATTATCATCTCCAACGATAATTGTTAGTGGGAATGGAGAAACTGATCAGATATATCTTGGTAAAATAGAATCATTTATTGTATTAGTAATGAAAATTCTATTTATTTAGAACGTATAAAAGCACGAGAAATTATTTCTGAAGCATTATTACAAGTAACTCGGAGTAAACCCGAGAATCCAATTGATTTTCTTTATAGTTAGTAAGTTATATGACAAAAATAGGGTTTCTTATTTTCATTAAATTGATCAATTTTAGTTTTGAAAGTCAATGCCAAACGGATCCGTATGAAAAAACATTAACTCGTTTACGTCTTGCTGATCCTAAACATCCATCTTTTAATTCTCTGATTGTTGAATTGTATTCAAATTTTAATACATGTATGTTAAAATATAAATTTCGATTTAATTCAATGATCTATTTTAGTAAATGATAATGGTCTATTGCTCAAAGGTGATATATACAATAAATTATTAGAAAATCTTTGCAATAAGTAAGAAGATTCAGATTTTTTCTTGCTATTTGTATTTGAAATATTTCTATTCGATAGTCAAATGTGGTCAGGATCTAAAGATCATCGAACAACATTACTATCACGTGTTAGCCTTCGTCCGAATGATGCGATTAGTTTTAATGTATTTAAATATGGTATTCAAGCTGTTCTTCTAGCAAAAGGTTAGTACAAAGAACAGTTTTTCTGAATATGATATAAACAAAAAAACACGTCTATGTAATAATTTAGAATTTGATAAAATGGTTCGATCATTATACAATTCCTTGGCTAATCATACTGGTACAAGTTCGGAAATAGATCGATCTTTATGTGAAATTCTTCTACAAATGCTTACTGATTCGCTGGAAATAATTATCAAACCACACGTTGATGCTCTCAGGTGATTTAATCATGGAATAAAAATTGATCTTTATGGAAAAACAGAAAGTCTTTCAAAATCAATCAGAATACCTTTTCAGTTTTGTTTTTTAATACTCTGATAGATTTTCGATATGTATAATTCAAGTTGATCAGAAAGTCTTATTTTTATTTTTAGTCTTCATGAATCTATTATCAAATTAAGTTCACATCAAGTTAAACAATCGCTAGAAGAACATTGGTCACAATCAAAATTAATATCTAAAAATCGAATAACATTAGAAGAATTTCAAAATCTAGCTATGCCTATTTATTTAAAAACTATTAAAAAAATTCCTTAAAAATAATATTTTTGTTTATAATTTCTTATATTGTTGTAGATGACTTCATTATCATATAGAAATGATCGATCAATCGATGAAGATGATGAATACGAATATGCAGGAGATGATATAGATAATGCTCGAGTTGAAATGTATGATGATGAAGAAGATGATAGTAATGATGATGAACAAATAGTTCAAAAAAATAATAATGCGAGTCGAAATAAAAGTCATACAACATTTAATGATGAAACAAATTTAATTGATTATGTTATTGAAGAAGAAAAAGAAATTGGTGGTAATAAAGGTGAAGATAGTTATTATACAAGTCGTTCAACAACGTATTCAAGGTATAAAATATTTCATTTGAAGAATTTTTGAACATTTTTCTTTGATAGTTTGATAAGTAATGATGACGATGAAGAAGATAGTGTTGATAAAGATGATGATGAACAATCAAAAACAAATGAAAACGGAAAAAATAAAAAACTAAAAATTACAGCAAAAGAAGAAGGTGAAATGATTCGAGCACGAGCTTTTCTTAATCGACTTGATAATAAAGTTCGAGAAAAAGATGATGCAGTCAAACAAATCAGGTATATTTTCCCATGATTATATAGTTTATAGAATTCCATTTATTTAGAGAATCAATGTATTTAACAAAAGAGAAAATAGCAACTATGGAAAAAAACAAAAGACAATTAGAAAAAGATATCGATAAAGCACAAGATCAAGATAATGTGTAAGCAAATAATAAATATTTTCTTCTCGTAAATAATTAAGTTCTTTTTTTTTCGTTTAGTACCATCGTTAATCGACTTTGTAGTGAATTACATCGTGTCGAACGTGAAATTATTCTTGACCATGATGTTATCACTGATTTAAAAAGCAAACTTGATGTTGCTGAGTATGTCTTTAACTAAAATCTTTAGATTATTTAAATTCTTTTTTACTTATTAGAATGATTCGTACGAAAGCAATTGTAGAGCGTGTACGTTACAATGCTGAAGAGAGTGTACTGAAAGAAAAAGAATCCTATTTAATTGAACAAAAACGTATTCTTGCACAAATGCGTCAACGTCAAGAAGATTGGAAAGTTAATCAAATGAAACGAGTACATGTATCTACATTAAAGTATTTGGAATAGCTTTCATTTTCTATTACAAAATACATTTCTGTCTATTTATCTAGTACACAAAAACAAGCAATTGAACAACAAGCAGTTGCTCAACGAAATGCCATTGATGAAGCTCGTCGAAGTAAAAAAGTTGCACATAAATATTTACAACAAACATTTGAAAAGTAATTACTTTTTGGTCAAATTAAGTCTTCTCCAAATTCGAAGTTTTCGCAAAAAACTCTATCTGAAACCTATTATCATCTGTTTTTGATTGCTCTAATAGATACTCTGGACTGTGCTGAATCGACTGGTGATGCTCAAGAAAAAAAAGCACACAGTTACAAGCTATAATTTGTCCGGTGACGGATCTAGGATTTCGGAAGGGGGGATGATCATCCCTATCGGCCCCCCTAAATCCGCCACTGAATTTATCGAAAAACTTGAAACTCACTTAACTTGACCTTATTTTTTTAAGAGATCGTGTTTTTTTTATTAATAATTTTAATTATTTTAGGATTCGTACTGAAAAACGTAATGAAGAAGAAGCAAGTCGAGAAGAAACTGAAAGAAAAATAAAAAGTTTACTTAATTTACGTAATGCTATTGAACGAAATAAAGATGCAATATCAATAAAATTAGCACAAAAACGATCACAAGATCGTGATTTACGTGATAATAAAAAACGTGAACAAGAAACTATTGAAAGTGAAGGACAAAATGGCGTATTTTATATGTTACGTAAACAAAAAAATGAAAAATTAGAACAAATGCAAAAAACTTTTTCTGAACAACAAGAATTAAATCGTTTAGTTATTGTTGATAAAATTCTTAAAGAAGAAAATGAAAAAGAAAGAAAACGAAGATTATATCCGGAATTTTATAAAAAGAGTAGATCATCGAATATTTCAACTGTACCAATAAAACAAAAAGATAAATCACAATCTAATCAGTATGTATATAATAATCAAAGAAATTTCTTTGAATTTTCTTTTCTTATATTTTATGACTCCAAATGAAACAGTCGTAAGTGAAGATTTCCCAGTTCAGCTTGTTCCAAAATCAGAATTAGATATGGATCCAATTGATTATGCATCATCAATGACATCTGCGTATCAACATGATGAATTCGATGATGGTAATTTTATATAACTTTTAAATGAACGAAGACTGAAAATTTAAAATTTTTAGATATGGATGTTGATTTAGCTCAACCTGAATTTAATGGTTTATGGGATAAACAACCGGTTAAACAAGAGATCGATCCACTTTTTAATCGATCTAAACATTGGAAAACAAAAATGGATAAAGTAATATTTTTCTTATTATCCAGATGAAAAAACAATCTTTTCTTTTTTATTAAGGATATTTTACAACGAACATTAACAAAATTAAAAGAAAATATTGTTCGTGAACAAGTAGTTGGTGCGAAACGTTTTGAAGGGACTGTACCATTTAAAAGTGATCCATCAGAAATTTATTTTAAAGTTTGTTCTATTAAAAATAAAAATCAATTCTATCTGTTTTCTTTTTCTATAGGATTTTGATGTTGGTAAAGTTTATCGAACACGTGTTACATTAACAAATGTAACATTAACAATAAATACATTAAAATTAGTTGATTTATCTGAATCATTAAAAGATTTCATAATACTCAAGTAATTATTTCTATTAGTTTTTTTTTGTAATAAATAAACCTATTGTATTAATAATAGATTTGAACCACCAGGAATGATTTCCGCTGGTATGTCTTGTTATCTCTATGTTACGTTCGAACCAAAAGTATTTATAAAAATTTTTATTTTTCGATAATTTTCTTATATATATAGATTAATGAAAATCTTCGTGGTGAAATCAAATTTCTTGCTCAAACAGGCCCATTTACTGTTCCAATTCGTTGTGAAATAAAAAAAGTTGAAGTAAATAGAAATTTTCGATCTTAGATTTATATATATCAATATGTTTCTCTTTAGTTATCTTTAGATAAAACAGCTGTAAATGTTGGAACAACTGTTGTTGATGAACGTCTTCATCAAAGTATTACACTTCGTAATAATGGTGGATTAGGTACAAATTATCGTTTGGTTAAAACAAGTTTATTACGTACTGAACAAGCCAATAATCAGAAAGAAGAGAATAAAACAAACGATACATCAGGTTTGCTAGAAACGAAATTTTATAATCAAACAATAAAAATCATTTTAGATGTAGCAGATTTAGTTCAAAAAGAATATATTGAAGTTTTTACAATAAAAGCTGATGAAAATGGTTTTCTTGCACCACATGCATCTATTTCATTTCCAATTGAATTTAGTGCTCCTATAGCTGGTACTTTTCATGAAGAATATACACTTATATTTGATCAAAATCAATCTGAAGTAAATTATACATCTTTTGTTTTTGTTTTTTAATTTTTTTCTCTAGTTAAAATTCACTATTAATGCTCAATCAATTGATGTACCTGTTTGGATTGAAAACCCTTCGACTGATTTTAAAATTTGTATGTTTGATCGTTTATATCAAGATGCACTTGTTCTTCGTAATCGAAGTTCAGCTGCTCTTCGTGTATCAGTTGATATCCAACCACGTGCATTACAAAATCATATTGAAATTCTACCACGTACAGCTTATATACAAGCAAAATCAAGTTTTAGTTTACAAATTAAATTAATTGCTCGTCCATCAATTGTTGATGATAATTTACCAACTGAAATTTTCGATCCACAATATAATACATTAATTATTCCACTTGAAATTAAAGTTGGAGATCAAATTCGAACAGTTCCATTTAGTATAAGTGCAGTATTAACAACAAGTGATCTACAATTTGATATTGAACAGATTGATTTCGGATGTTGTACAACAAGTGAAAGTGTAGTCGCAAAAATCAATTTAAAAAATAATTCACTTCTAGCACAACCATTTGGATTTGTTAATTTACCCGATGTAAGTTTCTTTTTCAGTATCAAATATCGACTAACAGAACTAATAATTTTTGTTTTTCTATAGTATATTCAAGTACAACCGAATGATGGTTTTGGAACATTATTACCTGAAGAAACAATTCCTTTGCATGTTTTGTTTAGTCCATCAGCAACAAAAGAATATCGATGTACATTAACATGTAAATCACTTGTTAATCGGTATGATAATATTTATTCATTCTTATTTATAATTAAAAACATTTTCTAGTGAATTTACAATTGATTGTCAAGGTGTTGGTGTTTTACCACCACTTTCTCTATCATCAACTGTTATCCATTTTCCAGCTACACCTATTAATGATCAATCAATTGCTACCTTTTATGTTGATAATCGTCATATGGATAAAAATCATTTTAAACATCCAGTACCACGTATAGGAAATGGTAAATTAATCTATAGAAATTTTCAATATTTGAAACGAATTGTTCGATCTTTTTATTAGGTGAATTTGCTACTGTTGGTGCAACATCATTTCAGTTTGATGTACCGGAAAATTCGCCGATTAGTATTTCACCTCTTGTTGGCACTGTTGAACCTGGAACAGTCTGTATTTTATTTTAAAATTTATTTATAAAATTATTTTTTTATAAAAAAATTCTAGAGACAAAAAATAACAGTACGTTTAGCACCGAAAGTCGATATAAATGAAGTTCGAAGTGAATCAATTCGACTAAAAGAAATCGATTTACGACGACAAATGGAGAACAAAGACTCACCAGATAAATCTGACGTATAAAGTTTTCAGTCTACATTTTATTTTCAAATAAATAAATAATTTTAGTCAAAACATAAATCTCCAGGACCAACAAGTTCAACAGCTCGAAGACGTGGTACTATTGTAAGCTTACGTAGTGACAGTAATCTTTCTCCTGCTCCTGAAAAGTTAGTAACATTTATTTATTTATTTTTCTGACTAAACAAATTAAATTTCCTAGTTCAAATGATTGGTTCATATCTCAATTATCTGTAATGAAATCATTTCCATCGTCAATATGTTCTTTTCTTATTCCATGTTATATTGCATCGGGTGAATGTCCACGACCAGGCTTATTAAATTATGAGTAAGACAATATTTGAAATTAGCTTTTTATATCCATCGAATTTATTATCATATAAATAGTGTTGCAAATACATTATTTCTTCAAGTTCATTGTCCAATTGTAAGACCAGAATTAATTGTTATATCTGATTATGGACAAACAACAATTGATTTTGGTTCAGCATCAATTGGACAAGAATTATCACGTACAGTTCTTATACAAAATATAACGAATAAAACAATTCCAGTAAATTAAATTAAAATATTTGATTTATATTAATTCAATTTTATAGGTACACAGTACTTTATTGAATATTGATGGACCTTTTCGATTGTTAAATGCTTTACGAAGTATAGAAGCAGGTGGTACAGCACCAATTAAATTAACTTTTACACCAAATGCAACAATAGAGGTTTAGTTTATATATATTATTTTTCAATTATGTATGATTGTTTGTCTCTTATTATAACAGTTTTTGGAAACACTTGAATTGAGTAGTGATAGTTCGAAATTAACATTATGTTTGAAAGGTACATTTTCTATTATATATATTTTATTATTTATCAATTTATATATTTAATCAGGTTCTGGTCTAAAACCTAATGTTCAATTATCATTTGATATGAATAATCCATTTTCAATGGGATGTGTTTTAGCTAAAGATTACATTGAAAAAACCTTTCAGGTAAGATTAAAAATATCAAAAAAAGAATATGTCTATTTTTATCCTAAAATACATTTAGCGAAAATATTTTTTTGCCATTATCGTTATCTTCCTATTCATTTGATTGTAGGTCACAAGTCTTTTTCTTTATTTTATCATAGTACTTATCTAGCTTACAATTTACCACTTGAAAAATTTCTTCTCTTAAAGAAAAAATTCTTTTTATAAGTTCCCAATTTTTATTCAAAAGTTTGTCTCAACGATAAGTACATAAAAACACGATGAAAAATGAATTTTATTGCGCATGTACAAATAATAATGCATATATTACTTGTGCACTGTTTCGTACTGAATTTATATGTCATTAACTTCAGTATGCAAGCTAGGTAAAAAGAACAATAAATCGATATTTATTGTTTATTCGTTACGTGGACTGTAAGACACTTGTCTATTATATACTATAAATAGCTCTCTCTATCTATTTTTTTCATCGTTTCGTAATATTACCTTTTTCTTGTAATTTTTTTGTTGACTAACAGATACATATCTATCGTTTTTGCCAACAATATATATCCTTTTCTTTTTCATATATCAACAGTATATATCAGTTAGATTAAAATATTATGATGATTATTACTCTTACTATATTAGCTTCTGTTGTATCCATATATTTATCTGCCTGTCGATATTTTCGTTTTCATCATCTTAAATATATCTTACATAAATACAATAATGTGCGTCTTGATTATCAAAAAGCACTTGAAATTAGTCGAATTCAAGTTCTCTATGATTTTCCTTATACAACAGAGTTATCTGTTTCATTTGCTCTATTTAAAACATATGGTATTCCAAGTATTTCACGATTACTTGCGAAAACTAATCAATTAGCACATATAGAAACTGCTGGTCGTCGAGCTGAAGATACTAGCATACTTCTTGCTGAATGTTTTTTAAATGATCTTGATTCGTCTCGAGCTCAAATGGCCATGGCTCGTATTAATTACTTACATAGTTTATATAAAAATAGTATCAGTAATGATGATATGCTTTATACATTAAGTTTATTTATACTTGAACCTATTCAATGGGCTAAGAAATATGAATGGAGATCTTTAGTACCAATTGAACAAGAAGCTCGATTTATCTATTGGAAAGAAATGGGTGAAAGAATGGGAATTAAAAATATACCATTAACATTGAATGATATAAACAAATGGTCGATTGATTATGAAGTCAAATATATGATTTATTCGAAAGATAATCAAATATGTGGAGAAGCTACATTAGCATTATTCTTATCATTCTATCCTGATTGTATGCAAAAATTTGCTCGTAAAGTTTTGATATCTTTAATTGATGAACGACTTCGTCTATCAATGGGTTTTGAAGAAGTTCCTCATTGGATAAAACAAGTGACAACTAGATTATTACGTATTCGAGCTTTTCTTCTTCGTCATTGTATACTTCCACGTTTTTATCCGACTACAAGAGGTCAAGTTACTCCTTCTTGCCCAATGACTAAAGATGGAAGATATCAACGAACAGGTTATATATTTGAACCATGGTATATGAAAGAAACATGGTTCAATACAATGTTACCATTTATTAGAAAACAACCAAGTTCGAAATATAAGAGTCACGGATTCAAAACAGAAGAACTTGGACCAGAAAAATTTTCTGGTCTAGGTATTAAAACAATGGAAATAGACATTGAAAATATGAAAAAAAGAGCTATGATTCAAGATGAATCATAATTCATTTCTATAAATATTTAATGTAAATAGATGATCGAAATATTCATATAAAACAGAAAATAAAATTCTATAATTATTCTTTGAATAGAATTAATTGTTAATTTCCATATTTTTTAATAGATTATCAATCATTCAGACACACAAGTATCATTTCGAATTGATTTAGCAAGTCAACATGTAAATAATCGAATAGAACAAGAAAATAAAAATGCATGGGGTTCTACATTTGACTTAAATAAACATATGATAGGTAAAATATATGAATAATCTTCTACTTATGTATATAAATTATATCTTTAGGTCCACAAAATTTAAGTGGTAAATCTGTATTTGATATTTCTCCACTCAATGGTATTATACTACCTGGTAGTAAAAAACAATTAACAGTAATATTTAGTCCTGATCATGATTCGGATTTCTTTTCCGATCTTGTTCATATTACAATTTCTGAACAGGTTTGATTATACGAAGAAAAGAAAATTTTGAATAATTAAATATTCGTTCTAGCCTGTCAAACTTGAATTTCGTTTACGAGGTAGTGGACGTCAAAATACAATGTATATACGACCATTAGATAATGCTAATGTTATACAAAAAAGTCTTCTACCAAACATTAGTGATGCAGTCACTATGCAAATGCAGACAATAGGTTTGTTTTTTCGAAGAAATATTTCTATTTATTTATATATTAATGTTAGATCCAAATGAAAAAGGATTGCCAAATAATATTGTTGTTATACTATGTGCACAAATGGTCAATGGAAAATATGTACCTGCACAACGTGAATTGATGATTGGTTGTGCAGGAATAACAACTGGATCTAAAAGAGTATTTATAAAATATATTTATTTCATACAAATAAATAATTTTTATTATAGAATGGTGAATATACATTTGATAATTTGAAAGATATTAATACGGAAGGTTTTAATATTGATAATCCAAAAGTAAAAAATGATTAATTTATTTAGATATACATTAAAAATGATATTTGTTTTTTTAGAGTTCTGTTGAAATGGGTACAGAGAGAGCAGTAAAAATCACTTGGACACCACCATCGAGTTTTGATGTATGTGTTCGTACTATTTTATATGATGGAAAAACTTTTATTTTTTCTATAGATTAATGAAGCTTGTCGAGCAACAATAACTGTAACAACAAAAGGTGATATTTCACGTACATGGCGTGTTATTCTAGTTGGATATGTTGATTCAACCTCATCAGCTGATAAACGATCTTCACGAGTTACAAAAAATCGTCAAACACTTGCAGCTAGTACACGTTCACATGCTTCAACAGTTGGTACTAGTCAACGGTTGCCTATACAACAAGAAAATACTACTAACAATAATAATACAACATAAGTGATAAAAATAGTTCTCATTTTTTTTATATAATTATAATTGAATAAAAATAATTTAATTTGTAAATTACTTCGTCTATATATTCTAAGAAAATTATATGTGATCAAATCTTATTAATAACAAAAATATTTAACTGTCAACTTATAAATTTTCAATAAGGTTCATTTCTTAGATGAAATATATTGCATGATTTATTCATCGACTATTGTTTCGCATCAATCATTTTGCCTTTTTAACTTATCAATAGTATTCGTATCTACATTGCCTGAGGCATATTAACATTTACCTATATATATATATAATATACTTAAGCAAAATAGTAAATTCTATTGACAAGTATTAGTTAGAAGTATGTTTTTTTAAAATAATATATAATTGAATTAGAATCTTGTTTTTGTGAACCAAATAATTATTAGATGATGCACTAAATATATAAGTTTTATTTTATAAGATATATATATTTGTATACGTATATAGAGATAGAGAATGTGGATACTAATAGATTAATAATAGCAAAGAGTTTTTTAAGTAAGCGATTGATTTGAATATTTATTTTCATTCTTCTCCTTCGCCTTCGGCTTCTGCTTCTCCACCCTCTTCTTCGTCGGCTGCTGGTTTGTTTTCGCCTTCTTCATCAGCACCACCTTGTTCTCCATCGGCAGCATCTCCTTCATTCTCATTGTCTGCTGTTGCATCTGGATTAGGAGGTTGAACCGGGTGTTCACTGTCATTACCATCACCATTTTGCACTAATGTCCATACAGTTTTGTCATCTTCAGTTGTTTGATTTTCTAATACAAATCCATGTTGAAGAAGAATATCAAGAATACGTTGAGAACCATCTTGACATAGAACACCTTCATCATGATCAGATAATAATTCATTCGTAAGAGTATCTTGTAAAATACGGATCTAAGAGCAAAATATAACTTAGTAGTTAATTAAACTAGTAATAACTTAATGATAGACAATATTCTAATATCTAAACTCAATTTAACACATATTCGTTTTTTTTTACATTACGGAACATGTGAATATCATTAGTGAATATATGGATCTCGTGGGAAATTGATTTTTTTTATTATTTAGTTACATTAAAAAATATTGCAAACGAATAATCTCATTCTTGTTGTTTTTTAATATAGACTATGTTCATTAGTTACACTAGAATAACAATAAAAAATGTTTTTGAAGATGTGTAAAAAATAAAGAATTATAGACATTAATCCTGTTTTAAGTCATATAGTTTTTAATTTAAATTCTATGAACAATGGATATATTTCTAAATAAAATCATTGAATAGGGTTTTTTTTGTTTTATTCTACCTACCACTTCCGGTGGAATCTTGTAATTTTCAGTACCAGTTGAGTGGATAAGGGTTGGTCCACTTTCTATTTTATCCGAGTCACATGATAAAGTGAGTTGAAGTGCCATTATTTCTATCGATAGTATCGAACTTGTTCTTATAATCAAATGCAAATGTCTATTCTGTTTTCCGTCTTTCGAAAGAATAATATATAGAGCAAAATCTGTAGTTTTTTTTTTTCTCTATTTTTTTCCCAGAAGACAAACTCACGCGTAGAAGGAAAAAGAATTCATCATGATACATAAAAAGCCGACACACTACAACAAAAAAGCATGAAGCAAAAACATAGAAAAAGAAAATGATAGAATAAGACAACGTATAAAAAATAGAATAACCAAACAAGAAGAAGAAGAAGAAGCTGGACGGATAATGAAAGAATAAAAAACATTCATAAAAAGCAACATTAATAATTATTGATCTTCATCATCATCATTATTATAATTTTTTCGAGAATTTGACGAAGGTAACAAACGAAATGGACCTAAAACAAATTTTTTTGTGTATCTCAAAAATAAAATCGAAAAATTTACTTTCATAATCATCCTTCGGCATATCATCATCATCATTATCATCAATTTTGTCATGATCATAATGATTTGAAACTGGTGGTTTGGATTTTTTAGTCGACGGATAAGATGCTAGAAAATGAGATATGAAAAAAAAGTAATTTATTGAAATATAACATACATTCAGGTGAATGACTACGATCGGTAGTTGAATTTGATGAAACTAATGAACCTCCCTTTTCTAAACGTTCACATAATGTTTGAATACGTTTTTTTAATTTATTTATATCAATATTTATTGTTGAATTCCCTATTGTATTTGATGTTGTACCCATATCAATAGTTTTCGATCGTGAAAGTACAGTACGTAATGCATAATTCACTGCTGCATCAACAGTTTCTTCCCAACCCTAGACAAATACAATTGATCGAATTCATTAGATTTTACTATATTCGGACATTTATTGTAAATCTAAAATGTCGGTTTAACTTTGCAAAAAAAATTACTATCGAACTAATCTCTGAGTTTGAATACATTAGATTGACTTTCAATCATTCATGCGGATTACTAAAAGAATGTTGCTTGATTTTTACAAACAAAATCACGTCTACAAACTAAAGACTAAACTCTATAAAAGAAAACATGCATTACAAGATCGAGACCGGAAAAAAGTCGTTTTGCCGATCCGCCGAAATGAAAAGAACTTAATTCTATTGAGAAATAAATTGCCTAAAGAATATATAATATTCCAATACAAGTACCACTTTCGTATTACTTTTTCAATACAGTATTAGAGAAGATTAAGAATTTTAATATTCATTTTTCTGATAGATTTTAGTGCATACTTGTTCATTATCATCAGATATCACGGGTGATAAAATAGCATTAAGTAATTGGGCATTTTCATTTGATAAATTCACACTAATTTTTAATAGAAGGCAAATAAGTTTTGTCGCACATGATAAATCATGTGATGATCGACTTAATTCATAACGACATTGTTCATATCGATTAGCAAGTGCAACAATCTAAATTTCAACAAAAAAAAACTTAGATTCTCTCTAATAAAACAAAAATTATCAACCTGTTGATTTGTATTTTCAAGTAAAATATCTAAATTATCAAGAAGTGTTGGTGTTTTGTCTTTAAATTTATTTAATAAACGCTTTTGTATAGCTCGAAACTGTTTTGAACATATATCTAATGTTGAATTAATTTGTTCACATTCAACACGTGTTTCATAATGACGATCAACTAATAAAAAATAATCTTCTAATGGTAATGGATCACCAAATTCAAATTCAATTGTTGATGATGAAGCATGTAATCTTTCAGTGAGTAAATTAGAAAATAGCCAAATACTTGCAAGAGAATCAGCTTGAAAACGATATTTTTCTAAAAGAAACGAACTTTATTTAAAAAATAAAATAAAAATCATATTTTCTACGTGATTTTGATGATGCTAAAATCGATATATTTTCATTCGAACCATAAAAACGTATTGTTAAACCTTGTTGTGAATTACTTTCTGCAGTTGAAAGTTCTAGAAGAAAAAAAATTACGTATTTTTTTTTTGAAGTAAAAATTCTCCTACCAGGAAAAACTGTATTTAAATCGACTACAGGTTTATTAGCGCCTAAAGTTAATTTACATTGACCACCAGTAGATGATTGTTGAAATGAACGTGCAACAAGTTTTAATGGTAATTTATAGGTTTTTTGAACAGTATGGCAAACATCTAAATATAAGAGAAAATAAGATTTTCAAGCCTCATGAATATTTAAGAAATCTTATTAACTATTACAAACAGGATTAGACATTTTGCAACAAATACTATATGTAATGAAAAACAAAAGTTCGATTTCTCTTACTATCTGACACTGTGTTATATGAGACTGTGAATGTTGCTTCCAGATTCCATGGTGTAAGATCATCTCGCATCCAAAATGCAATTGTTGCTGTACCAACCGAAGTTGTACCTAAAATAAAATTCTAGTTTTTTTTTAAAATTTCATATCATATTATTATACAAACCACCAATATGACCCATTCGAACTTCATTAGGTTGTGCACATAATGGACTGTTAATATTAACAGTAAGAAGAACATTTTGTATAGCTTCATTACTCTTCACACGTATATTTAAATTTAATACTGGTACATTTGATTCTGAATCGCCTCTTTGAAATCTTGTGTCATCGGTCATCTAAATTAATAATTTATTAATAAAAATAAAGCTGATTTTTATATTTTAAATTAATTTACAGAAAATTGATTTGTATTCTCAATTTGAATAACGACTTGTGCATTTGCTTTTCGTTTTATTACCAAAGCTAAGTAAATGAAAATAGAAAGTACATATAATTTAATTCAATTGAATTAATTTTACTTGGATCATTCATTGCTTGTTTTATTTCTTTATTTAATTTTGATAATTGTTGTTCAGCATCTTGAATATTTATCATTGTACCAGACGTTATAGCTGGTATTGATGTTGAAACCGGTTCAGTACCCAAATAACAACATTGTAATGAACCTGTTTCACTTAATGTACAAATCATGCCACGTATTCCTCTGAAGAAAAAAAGAATTTTATTAATATAGAAAAGTAAATTTCAATTGATTGACTTACTGAACTGTGCATACTTCGACTTGAACAGGAATAGAATCAACATGAGCTGCCCAACGAATATGACCATCTTGAACAATAAATAATGTATGAGAATGTGTACTAATTATATATCGAACTCCAGAGCTCGATGAATCCGATTGCATTCCTAAATTTCGACAGTTAAGAGAAACAACGCACTTAAATAAAATCTTACCATTATTATTGTTTTCATTATTATAAATAATGAATGAACTGGGATTATATTCAAATTTGCTCATAAATATTAATTGTCCATTATCACTCAAACAAAATAAATTTCGTTCACCTAATTTTATCAGATACACACATATATATAAATATTTATTAAAAAAATATATTTGTTTTTACCTAATACAATAATTGTTTGTGGCGTATTTTTAATACGTTGTGTTGTTTGTATTCCCAATGCACATTCACCTAAATTAAAAGACCATTCTGGTAGAACTCGTTTTGATGATTGTGATGTTGATAATGATGATTCATCTTCGACACCTTTACGTCGTACATCATTATTATTTGTACCATGATCAACACCACTTGATATTGCTAATGCTTGATATCTAATTTTTTTGTTTGAAATTAATATCAATGAAAAAGAGAGTTTTTTTCTGTAAACTTACTTGTAACATTCAAGGTGATAATTACTCGAAACAGTTAAGAAAGCATCTGATCGAGATAAATAACAAAGTGGTCCAGGTAAGTAAGTATTCGGAAGAGATTTAACCATTGATTGTCGTTCATATTCAAAGACAAACAAGACACCATCAAGTGTTTGTACGCAAATATATTCATGATTTGAAGAATCTTTATCTATGAAAATTTTTAGATTTAATTGAAAATACAATAAAAATAATTTCATACTTCCTCTTCCACCACTACCAAAATGTCCTTTACACATATTAAATGTTGGACGATTTAAATTATGTTCATAATTTAATTCTAAATCAATTTGTCGACCTTGTTCAGTCATACCAGATTGTTCTAAAAACAAAAATAAATGTTTGTTATTATTTTTTTGGTATGAATTTGATTTACCATTATAATCATAGACGGAAAGTTTATGTGAGAATAAAACAGCAATTTGATTGACAGTTGAAGTGCTAAAATCAAACAACGAAAATAAATTATACGAATACCCAAACATAAACTTAAATCATATGCGTGAAGTAAAAGAGTATAGATTTTTAAAATGAAACTTCGTTCATAAAGACTGAATGTCGTAAACATCGAATACTTCAATTTCGATAGTATTATACTAGTAAATCAGTTAATTTGTAGAACAGATAGTTGTATTTATCACAAATGAATTTTTATCGTAGTACTTTCGACAGTTAAGAGAAACAACGCACTTTAATTGTAGGAAAATAATGCAAAATCAACCAGCAAATATAGCAGAATAATTTTGACACTCACTGTATTTGTCGATCATTTCGTTTAGTAGTGAAAATACCAAACTCATTACAAAATGCTCATTTTCTTTTTAAATACATTAGTTTTCATTATATTTGATCATAACTAGATAAAAATATCATTCGTTATTTATCTACCTAATAAATTTGCCAATTTCAATTTGTACAATTGGCATGCCAAGATTTTTTTCCAAGAGTAAATCCGTTGCATGATTACTTGTTATTGAATCGGGTTCTGAACTACTTGGACTATATATTCGAAGTATTCCGGAATGACTACCAACCACAATTTTATCTATAATAATAATTAATCTTTAGAAAAGAAAACGAAACTTTAAAATTAATCTTACTATTTGATTCTTCATTAAATGATCCAACTTTCAAACAACCATAATCAAACTGTTCTCCAGAACCTACTTGACAAGACCACCATTCACGTGCTTTAAATAACGACATATCTCTACTTTGTAGAAATAATAATTAAGCTGAATTGATTAGCACCATTATGTAACTATTGAAATATTCAACATTCATTGAGCACAGGAAAGAGACGAAACGAAATAATCTGAAACACAAAACAACAAATTCAATGTTCTTTTCTTCTTTTTTTTCTATCGTCATTGCACAGAAACCATAAATTTCTTATAACAAACAAACAAAACAGTGAGAGAAAAAAACGGAAGAAAAAAAGAGTTTTTTCTTTTTCTTCTATTCTTTATCATTTTCATTTGCAAGAAATTGTCGTTTTCTTGTTGTATTCATAAATGGACGATATTGCCATTCAGTATCACATGCATCTAATTGATCAATTGTACCTAATTTTATTTGATATACTAAAAATATTGAAGAAATTTAATTTTAATTTTAATACAAAATTTATTTTATTACATTTCATTTCAAAACGTGGACCAAGTTCAGTTAATTCAATTTGACCTTCATTTTTTTTGTAAACATGATGACTAGAAAAAAAACAGACAATGTATTTAACTTTTGTTTTATTATACCGAACCGAAATGATATAAAATCATCTTGATTAACAAATGTGATCGTTCTATGACTATCTTCTTTTGGTACAGGAAATAGATATTTAAGAATATTTGTTGTCCGTTGCCCTAGTTTTGATGTTAAATTTGAAAATATTAAATGTGGATATTGTTCAGACATTGGTCCAACATCAGGTACATCATGACGCATAACAACATTACTTAATGAAAATGACGCTGTTGGTCTAGTTAAAAGAAAATTTAAATTTATTTTATTTTCATTTTTCTATTTACCCATATGGAAAATGACTTATTTGAATAACATCTAAAGAGATAAATATAGAATTCAGTTTTTAATTAATGAAATTGTTAAAAATAAGTACTACTGATAAAAAATCTATTTCTATACAAAATCTGTTGAGTTAAATATGTACAGTTCAGTTGTCATGCTCTTATACCAATTACACATCGTTCCTATACCTAACTAACATCTATCTAAGCCCATGATTTTTTATTTGTACTGAACAGTGTCTTTATTTAATAGACTCTATCAGTCTCTTTTTTTTCATACTTATTATATGAAAATTGCATCACGGATTTCGTATAAGTGCAAGGTTTTATTTATAAATGCAAAACTGAAGTTATAGAAACTACAATTTTTTATTTTCTAGACTATTTTATCTGTGTATGAAATAAAATATATACGTACCAGGTACACCTCTCGTTTCTTGAACAAGTATTAGATCGGTTACTTGATTACTACGACAGGCTTCAACGATTTGTCGAGAATTGTAATTACCACGATTGATACGTTGAGAATTTGGTATTAAACGATTAAGTTCCTATAAAAATAAGAATTTTTTATTTTGTTTTTGGATGAAGGAATAATTTTATTTAAATTACTTTAGAAAACTGTTTCAATTTTGAACTTGGATCATGTGATGTTGTTATTATGACTTTTGGATCTTCAACACCGGCCCAACGATATTCATCATCTTCAGCTGAAATAATACCTATATAGAAGACATTATTGAATTATTATAATTTTTCTTCTAAAATCAATCAAACCTTGTCCACCGGCATCATCCCAATCTGCTTGTTGTTGTAATTTTAATGCATCATCACGAAGATCTGTTGGTATTTTTCGATTTTCTATATAAATCAAAGCAATTTATAACACTATTATCAATAGGATTTCTTTACCATTAATAGCTTCTGTAAGACGTTTTTTTTTGTCTTCAATTGTTTTCTGTCGTTGTTCAATACTCTTTCTATAGACATATTCACGTCTTAATCTAGCTTGTCTTCTTAACATCTGAAAAAATTGCATATATTTTATTTTTTATATTTTATTTTTAACTTTCTACTATTAAAATAAGAAAAAAAAACACAAAAATTTGAATTAATTTTTATTATTATTGCGACGAAATCTATCTCGACCTTGAATCAATGTTAAATCTTCTTGAAGAATTTCTCTCAGTGAAAAACCACATGAATCAAGTACATGAAAATGATTATTCAATTTATCAATACGATCTTTGCCAAGTTTTCCAAGTACATCACGTAATAAACGTAATGAACGATTACGATGAAACATAATTAAGCAATTTGTTTCATTGTCTGGCCATCGAGGATCAATATCTTGAATTTGTGTAAAATACATTGGACATCGTTTAGGATTTACATCCCAATCATGATTATGATCAATTATACCATTGTTTCCATTTTGTTCTTTATCACAATCTTCAACTCGTTTTCCACAAAAATAACACCAAACTTGACAACATGTTGGGCAAGTCATATGTGTACATGAATCATCTTTCATACCAGCTAAACCACATTTAGGACATGATACTTTTTGTCCATTTTCTACGGCTAAATCAAATGCTTGTTTATCATCAGCTAAGTCTGCACAAATGGAATGTCTGATCATTTCTTCGAGTTCCTCCTCAGTAGCATAATCAGTGAAAAGTGAAGGACAAGCTTTTTGACATACTAAACACGATGTTTTACCACACTCTGGATGTTCGCAAGAAAAGAACTTTGGGTCATTTTTACCACGTATAACTGCGGAACTACAAAATGGACAATTGTCTAAACGTTCATCAGGACCCACTAATTCTTTTACCCATACTAATGCAAGCATATGTTTATTATAGAAATCAATTTGTGTAAGTGTTAATTGTCGTTCAAATACACATGGATTTAATTCAACACGACATTGAACACAACGTAATGGTATATACACTTGAGGATCTGAGAAAAATAAATTAACAATTTGCTTTGAACAATCCGTACAATAATGGTGTCCTTGTACACATTGTATGCCGTAATGATCAGGTGCTAAATCTGCGTCGCAGGCTCCACATATAATTTTCTTTTTGTCTTTTAAATTTGTTGTTTTTGCGTTTGTCGACATTACGTCTAGTATTTGTTCTTATTACGAAGAGTAAATGAGTTGTAAAAAAAATATATATACAAAGGTAAACGGAAGAGAAAGCGTCGAAAGAAAAGAAAAAAAAGTATTTTACCTATACATTTACGTGGAAAAAAGCTAATACGAAAAAAACAAAGTTGGACTGCACCTTTATATGTATAATTTGGAAGTTTCCTTCGAGTGAAAAAGACGAAGTTTATTTTCGTCAGGATGAAAACAGAATTCATATGACGTAATTACAATATAAAACAACTTACCTGACCTGCAAAATAAATTTTAAAAAATCATAAAAATCAGTCGTGGCTAAATTTTCTTTTTATTATTGTCTGTTATTAAATGCAGACGTACAAAAATATAAATCATGGACATTTTTTTTTCTTCGACATAAAAAAAGATTATCATTGTAAATAATAATTAGTTAATTATGTACTATCGCCATACATAGTTACGATACCATAGGATAATATTGAACCAATAAAAGTACCCATAGTAAGTGCCTAAACAAATATTATAGAGATGTTTTTAAATATTTAATAAGTAACAAAAATTTATGATGGAAAAAAAACAAGAACGATTATTCAAAATAAGTAAGGATTCTGCTAAGATAAATAATACACATATACGTTTTTTTATGAAGTATTTAATTTTAACTTAGTATATCTATTTTCTTAGACAAATATTTTATTTAAATCTGTTACTTTATATTGTGTAATTACTTAGGTTTATATTAATCAATAGATATTTTTACTTCGTTCTGCTTACACGCGCTACACGTATTTTTATTTTTCCTTTTCTTCTCATTAAATATACTATGTTCGATAGGATTTATTCCCTTCAATCTTATGAATGTTTCCTAGAGATGTATAATTCCCTATTTTATATATAGCTTTTGAGTTTTCATGAATAAATAGAGAAATGTAGTACGAACGAATTTCTATCTCATATAATTTTCTTTAACATAAATTAAAACTTTAATACCATTATTGATGAATTTTAAAAGTTGCTTTGATCAGCAATAACTATAGCGTTAACACTATTTCTTTTTTTCTGGAGAGTCTTAAAATAATCAACTACATACCATCTGTACGGTTAGCACATGACTTAGGGAATTAAAAAATGAAGAAACGAACATTATTTTGGATGTATTTTATTTTCACTAATTAAGATGCGAATTGTAATTTTATTCAATGAACATGAAAACTAATATCCCTGTCATCATTTTTTATTACCTGGAGGGAGTACGAGATAAATCTACTATCTTCAGGTTTACTCCAACTTATCTATATTAAAAAATCTTATCTACACATTCACCTGCTGACATCTTACAAATAACATATTACTGATTATTTCACATTTTCTCCGAAACAAAATAGAGATGACGTTGTTTTTAAAATCAATTAAAATCAAAAAATTGAAAGTTTTATTATTTGAGATAAGATCTTAAACTCATCCGAAAGATGTATAGCAGAGACTTTAAAATATTTCTTCATTAGTATTTCTCATTATCATCTATTATGATATATTCATATTATTTAACATACCATTGTCATAAGTGCTCCAACTGTACTACTCAGTTGTGCATGAACTCGTCGTGGTGCATACATTAAATTAAGTGAATTACAATATCCATGTGATATAGCAAAAGTTAAAACCAATATAGCATAAATAGCATCATGTTTAAATATATAGGGAAATCCATTGGTATTTGGAAAATGACAAAAACCAAATAAAATTATAAATAAAAATCTTGCTAAACATATAAAAAATAAAAGACGTGGATGTTCCATTGATGGCTTATTAATTTTTGATGATAATATACGTCCAAATGTATCACCAATATAAAATAAAAGAAATGTCATTACTTGTGCATATAATCGAACAGTCCATAATGGATTTAAATGATTAATTGATGGATAAGCTGGTTGAATTTTTGCTAAATATGCTGGAAATAATGATAATGTTGAAACAAATGTTAAAAATAATCCAAAAAAATTCCATTTTACATGTTTATATGCTATAGATAAACGTTGACGTACGACTAATGATGTTATATTAAATGAATTACCATCATCATCATTATAAGATGATGATTCATGAAAAAATGCTTCATGTTCATTGTTAATTTCTTGTACCGCCGATGAATAGATTTGAAATAAATGCGTTCTTTCAAGAAAAGAATATACTATTATATTTGATATTATCACTAATATTGCAAGAAGAAAATAAATTGAAGCAGATGTTGATGTATTACTAGAAACTAATATTGATATTATTGAACATGTAACAACAAAAACACCACCAAGTGCTTGACCAGAAACAAATCCTTAAAGAAAATTCATATTAACGATTCAAAGTATTTTTTATTAAATATTCATGCAAAACAATTCAAATTAGCATGCTTTTCGTGTGTTATATAGTGTGAAGTAAGTTTATACGATTGTTTAGTATGTGTTTAACACGTAGTACTCACTAGATCATCATAATCTAAACGGTATTAATATCATTTTTTCTTTTAAATTGAACTAAACAAAATTAATAGAAGAATTTCGTTTTTTTGTCAATAAAAAATAATTAAGTTTATTTTCTTCTCGTTTTTGTTAGACTAAATTTTTACCTTGAATATATCGACTGGGTAATGTTGATGCTAATGAAAAGAAGCAATTGAGTAACGTTGTACTACAAACACTTTGTATCATAACTAATATCATTGTTATTGCAAAAAATATTTCACGCCATTTTTTAACATTAACAAACGTTAATGAAAGACAAACAGATAAACATATTGTTATACCACATAATGATGTATATATTCTATATTTATGTATATATGGAACACAAATAAATGTAACTAATATAGCTGTAATTAAATTTGTAAATGATGCACATATTGTTACGGAATTTTCATAATATAATTCAAGACGAGACATAGATATATTAGGTGTAGATTGATCATGTAATTTATGACGAAAATAAGGATCAGCTGTTATAAAAAAATTAAATGGTAGAACAGTACCTAGACCAAGCCAAACAAATGCTACATAAGACCAAGTCCGATCATAGACTGATCCAATAAGTGGTGTTGTAGCTGTTGCTATACGAGATACACTACTTGATCTATCCATTTAATCTAAAAAGTACATTAAAAAATGTTTAACATTGAACGGATTAAAATTATGATTCATTTTTTCAATTATATTTCAGTGTACTATACTAGGATTCACGCACTAATTCATTCTCAGCTGGTGGTCCATCGGAAATATCCTTGTCATTCTTACGTTAAGATTAATTCTATGTTTGATAATTATATATCTAAGAAAAATGCTGGATATTCTTGCCATATATTTTCTTTTTCATTGATTAAATTTTTATCAACAATCTGCTTTTCTTTTTTCTTAAAATTTCCATAGTCGATGATTATGACTTCAGTTTCATAGGATTGTCTAGAAAAAAAAAACAAGAATGTCAATCAATAAAATACAATGATTTGAGCATTCATACAACATCTATTTCATTCTCCATATACATACACAAATGCAAAAAAAAAAGAAAGGAAAGTCGTCCAATTTGCACATTTAGATGATATTTAAATAGATAAATTTTTTTTTTCACAAAAGAAATCATTGGTAGATGAGAAGACAAAAAAAAGAAAGAAAGAACCCCAAATAATTAACAAATAAAACCATAGATTAATCCTATCGTTTTATTCTTGATGCAATCCAATCTAAACCTTGATATAAACCTTCACCAGTTAATGCACAACATGCTTGTATATGCCATGCTTGATCTTTAATCGATGTTAAACATAATTGTTTCGATATTTCAGCTGATGTCATAGCATCTTTAATATCTTGTTTATTAGCTAATATTAATACAGATGCGGAACGTAAATCTTCACTTTGTAACATACGAAATAATTCTTCTTTCGATAATGGTAATCGTTCACGATCTGTACTATCAACAACTAATATAACATATTCTGTATGAGCATAATATGTTTGCCATGATGAACGTAAAGATTCTTGTCCACCAATATCCATCATTAAAAAATGTATATTCTTAAAAATAACTTCTTCAACATTGGAACCTATTGTTGGTGATGTATGAACGACTTCATTCATTAAAAATTGATAGAGTATTGTTGTTTTACCTTTAAAATATACATATTTTGATTAAAAACAAAATTTCAATTATCTTACCGGCATTATCAAGACCAACAATAATAATTTTATGTTCTTCATTACCTAGTTAATATGATATAGATTATATTAAAATCTTTTTAAATTATTTTTTTGTTCTTACCAAACATTGCCCAGAGTTTTGAAAATAAAAAGCCCATATTGTTTCTAATTTATTTTATTTAAATATACATAAAAAAAATAATTGTCTAATATGAAAAGTATATATATAATATTTGCATCTTAAATAGTAAAAGAAAAGACGAGATCAGATTTAAGTATATTTAAATATATGTTGTTCTTTTACTATATAACAACGGGTAGTGCGTAAAAAAGATGAGTTGACGACAACTTTACTTCAATCATTTATTTATGACGACAAACAATAGAAAAGGAAAGGTAGAAAGTTTCTTTTCGTTTAGATTGTTCTTATTGGATAGTTGATAAACCAACAGAGAATTGTCAAACGTTTTTAGAGGAAAAATAGTATGGTACGACATCTGACGTTTGTTTATAATCGGACTTTTATTTTATAAAAAAAAGATAAAAGTTTTGAAGAATCACTTCACCAATAAACTTTTCATAAAAATGATTTAACTCTCTTTGAAAATCGTACTACGATCGAATTACTTCGTTATTTAGTAATAGAAAATAGTTAACTAACAATCGCTTCTCGTTCTTACTTCCGAACGTAAATTAGAAAAATGTTTCTCAATGTACAAAACAAAAAACAGGATATATTCTAATAAATGACAATGGATTTATGTCACTGCACTCGATAAACTTTAATAGATATTAATTATCTAGTTATTAGAAAAAAGTTTATATAGACTAAATATTTATATTGGATTTTGATATTGATCAGGGGCGGATCTAGCTATTAGGCGAACCGGGAACCGCCACCCCCTCGAAAATACATACTTTGACAAATACTGTAAACAGGTATAATACAACTTTCCACTTTTTCTATATAAACCGCCACCCTCTGATGGAAATCCTGGATCCGCCCCTGATATTGATAAGAAAAACCAACATAGAATATAATCAGGTCAAAAAGCACTTTATATTTTTAAAATATCTATTAGTTGCTATGAATGTCAACCTATTCTTTTTATACATGACTTTTGTATTTATCTATAACATAGATAAAAATATAGGATCAATGAAAATCCTTTCATAGTATTAAATTATACAACAGAGTATACTATTCCATTTAATTTAAAGAGTTAACTTCTTTTGCTTTATATTGATTTAATAATGGATAATATATCGTTAAAATTGACTAGTTATTTATTATAATAAATGCAGAAAATTAATAAAAATCATGGCATATTAATAATACAACTGAAACTAACACTATGGAATGATTGATACCATTGTTTAATACGATAAAATTTCAAATAGTTGCGTAAATTAGATGAATTTGTTTTCGTTATTCTTCTATTATTTTGATTGCCGTTCTGTGCCATCAAATACTTTGAAACAAAGTTATTTTTCGTTTGAGGTTTTACTATCATTCTTCTATTAGATATTGTTGTTGTTTGTTGAGAAGAATTCTGATGTGATTTATATTTTATTAATTGAGAATTTTTCTAAATAAATAAAAAAAGTCAAATATGTCTCTTAATTAAATAATTATTCTTCTATACCTTCTTTGGATGAAATGTAAAATTGAATACTGCCAATTGTGATTCAGTATGTGTCTTCATATTATTTATTATAATATTGAGATATGCTAATGCAGTTAAAGTTTCCTCTCGTTCTCTCTTTATATATACGATCTAAAAATTCTTATAAAAGACAAATATATATATATGAAGAGATAGAGTATAAGTATGAGTATTATGTCTTATCATGACATGTACTTAGAATACGAGAAGTAAAACCTTTAGTTATTAAAACTGACATGAAGTAACGCTCATTTTTAAACATATAGCACAAATAATTTCTTATGCAAACATACTATTATATGCATAAGATAATTAATGATCATCTCGTTTTTCACAAGTTCATGTTAAACTGTCAAGGTTAAATACATTATTTATATTATTATGAATAACGCACAAATATTTTAGGTAGATAAACAATAAGAATTAGTTTTAAACATGACTTTTTCAGATGCGAATTAATCTTTAGTAGAAATAATTTCATACGTCAATGGAGTATGAAATAGTTTCAAAAAAAAATCTTGGATTTAAATTTCACAATATATACGTCAACAGATTATGATAATATTTCACAAGTACTTGGTCAACTATATATGACGCATTTCTATTAATGTTGTTTAGTGTTCTTTTATTCCTCGAGTATGATGAATTAATAAATAACTAGATAAAATATTCTCCTACATGTACTTTAGAATAATATCAAATGACTAGATTATACCTCCCCCAATGTGTTTAATTATTAAGTTCAGTTAGAACAGTAGACATTCACACATAAGAAAACTACATGTCATGCAAATTGTTTCACAAACAGTTACGCTCATATCTAGGTAAATTCAGATTAATAACATACTTCGAAAAGCTTTTTGGCCTTGAATGATCTAATTTCTCGAATATAATTGTCATCGTCCAAAACAAAAGCTCTAGTATATGATTACATCAGTTTAACGAATATCAAAAGACGTGTTTATGATGAAGTCAAAAGTACAGCAGTAATACTTGTTATAAAACTTCATGAAATTAAGGCAATAATTAAATTTTATTCTTTGCATAGGAAAAACATGCGTAAGTATTATGATATTTATAATTATCATATTAAAAAATAAGTCTAATAACCACTAGAATCTTTCTTTCCAGTCATAAACCAAATGTATCACACAAGTTGTTTTTTTTGAATATGATGACATCTGCATATATCTGTCTACAATTTAAGAACATGTCATTATGCACTCTTCGGTATAGCATATTCCTAGAAATCGAATTGAAAACTGACACCGGTAGTTACTTCTATACATGATGTTTTATATATAAATATTTGTTATTAGTCATTCTAACCATGAAATTCTCATTATTATTGAAGGTCAATATGACTTTTTTTGTTAATTGACATAGAGAAGAAATAATAAAAAACGTTTGATAATGTAAAATTTTTATAAATTAATGAGTACATAAACAAAAATTTTGTGCTGTTCTGTCTTTTTTTCTTTTTTCATTAATATAACTAAAAAAATACACTCGTTATAAAGAACTCTACAATAGTTTATATTTAAACAGTAGTCATTTTTAATTCAATTCCATTGTCATCAATAATACTACTTAAATTATCATCAAAATCCATTGGCATTAAATCATCACTTGTACTAAGTGCTGTATATGTATATGTATTTGTCAAAGCTCGATTATGTGCTGTATTAGCACGTGTTGTTGAGTCAATCGATGATGTTGAATGTGAATATGCTGTCGATGATGATGCTGATGCAATAATAATAACTGGTTTTATATTTGCTAATGCTTTTAAACTTTTATAAGGATTTTTTGGAGAACTATTTTCATAAAACTGTTTAGTTTCACAAGGTAATGGAGTTGAACTATATTTTCCATTTGTTGAAGAAGTTGAACTATGAGTATTGAATCCATTTGTTTTCATCAGTGACATATTACGATTTTCTTTTGTTTTCTTTTGTATACAATCAATAAAACATAAAACCATTGTTAATATAACAACAAACATTAAAATTGATGAACAAATAAATACTGCAAAGATTTGTTTACGTGTAGATAAGGATGTTATGGATGATGGATATTCATCATGAGGAGATGATATTGATGATGGTGTTGGACTTGAAAATGCATGAGCCATACGTTTACCTTGTTGAAATTCTTCAGTAGCAAGACGCTGAATAAAAAAATATATAAATTTCATCATATAGAATTTCTTGGCTGTATTTTCCTCAAGATTTAAGTTTAGTAAATGAATAGAATAGAATAATATGAAAGTCGTAATTTTAAGAAAGAAATACTTCTTAAACTCTTATATAATTGCTAAATGATTCGCTTAATAGGCAATTACTTTTTATGTATTATATTTTTCCAGGGAACTAATAAGTGAATATTTCGTGCTATTAAATTTAACTACCTTAGTATTATTTAGATAACTGTAGAAAAAGATATTCAAAAATATTAAAGTAACGACTTGAATGACTAGTGAAAATGGATAAAAAATGTCTGCAAGTCTTTTTATAACTACTTCTAAAGTTCACTCGTACCTTTTTAAATATCAGTATGAAGTCTAACTCAGTCTGGTAAGCATAAGATGCATTCTTAGCATGTTTGCATTGTGTCAGCTTGGTAATAACTAATTCATAAATAGAAACTTTTAGTGTAATTTTTTACAGAATTAAAATGTGAAGCACAACTTGGCTGTCATTTTTAGTCGCGAGGAAATCTTTTCAATCTGTCCGTTTTGAAATATATTACTAAAGTCATGTTTTACTCATTTTTTAAAACTAAAATAAAGCGTTATTGATGCATATAACCTTTGAACTTGTATCAATAATATTTCAAAGTCATTAATTGCTTGTCGGAATGTCTTTAGAAGGGAATAGACATGTCTATGACGGCTCCAGACAGATATTCTATTATTAACTTTTATTAACCATGAGGTTAAGAATCAGTTTCAAAAATAGTCATTGTTCAATTAACTAGATATCTTTAATTCATGAAATCTGGATTTATTATTAAGCGCTTATTTAATAAGATATCTATCACGGTCTGCAACGCACGGGTAATAAATATTAGGAGACAATAGTGGGTATAAACTTGCAGCTCCATACGCTTCGACGCTCTTCTAGATCGTATTTCATAAAAGATTCATCAAAAATGTTTTCAGTGCAAAAGAAATATCATTACTAGTAAAAAGCAGTAACAAAATTATAGACTCCCCTATGTTTCTTTCCAAAATATAGTATTCATTTTTCTGGCTATGACATAGGAGGGCCTATAATTTTGTTACCCCCCAAATCACACTTTTAATATAAGTAGATCGTTTTAAATCTTCCATCTTTTTCTATAAATACTTACTAATGATGTGTCATCATGATTATTATTTTTAACAACTGTTATCCAGTCAGTTGTATTTGAACCAATAAATAAACGCAAAGTTTCAACAATAAGACATGGTGTTGGTTCACCATGATCACGTATTTGTACATGTAATACAACTAATGAATTATCATTAATTAAATTTGAATCTGTTTTAACAATTAATGTTCCATTCGATAATAAATTAATAAATGATGGTGATGTTGATGGTGATAATTGAAATGTTATATTTCCATTATAATCTTTATCATCATCGGATGCACTTAAATGTATATGAAAATATTTTGGTGTTAAATCACGATTTATAATTATAAATGATGATTCAATATGTAAACGAGGACAATGATCATTTTCATCGAGAATATCAATTGAAATTGAAATATTTATTGATCGACGTGGATTTCCATGATCTGATATAATAAAATTTAATTGATAAAATGAAAGAACTTCACGATCTATTGAGCCATTTACAGATATCATTATAAATGTTGTTGACTGAGAAGTATTACTTCTTTTTGTCACTATTTCAAATGGTATACTTGGTTTATTTTGATAATCTAATTTATCATCTGAAAACCATTCAGAATAAACACTTATTCGACCATTGGGTTCATCTTTATCATCATCGCGACATGATATTGTACCAATAATTGTTCCGATTTCACTATTTTCCATAATCGACCATGATATATTATTGTTATTAGTATCACATACAGGTGTATATTCATTTTGACTAATAACTGTAAATGTTATTATTCCTTGAGATGATAATGATGGTGTACCTTTGAAAACAGATAATTTATATGTCGAATAAATTACTTATAAAATCTCAATGATACTCTACAGAATAAAGGTCAAGATGTTATATAAGCATGAACGATTTGTTATACGCGAGATTAATTTTTTAATTCTATTCATGCAACTTTAACTTATTAGTAATTGAGACGCGAATATTTTATAGAAATCATTTACTTAATCGAAGGTTATTTATTATACTCATATAATTCGTTCATTAAAGTGTAAATCATCATAATTTTATTTCTATATACCTTTATCTCGTGCTTCAACATGTAATATATAAGTATCTTGTTGTTTACGATCAAATTCTGTCATAGCTCGAATAATTCCTGTTTTTGAATCAATTTGAAAAAGATTTTTATCATGATTAATTAATGAATAGATGATTTCTCCATTAAGATTTTCATCAGCATCTTCAGCATGAAGATGAAATATTTCATAACCATTTGGATTAATTATTTTGACATGTTCATTTATAGTTGCTTTCATAGTTTTTTCTCGAAATTTTGGTATATTATCATTTTCATCTAGGATAATAATAAATATATTTAAATAAGTTGATTTTGATAATGGTCGTCCATGATCAATTGCTTCTAATGTTAAATTATATTGTGAAATTAATTCACGATCAAGTAAATCTTTTGTACGTAATTCACCTGTATTTTCAGTTAAACGAATTAATTCAAATGGAATCATAGATGATTCAAGAAGTTTCCATGTAACACGTCCATTATCACCGGAATCTCGATCAGTTATCGATAGTGATAAGACAAGAGAATTTCTTGGTAATGATTCATTTAAATAAATTTCTACTGATTTTGAATCAGGATCAATATCATATGAATATATATCGATGATTGGTGCATTATCATTTTCATCTAATATATGAATTATAACTCTAAAAAATATAATAGAAAAAAAACTTTCTACTTTGAACTCAACAACAAATAGAAAAATATATTCAATCTGTTAATTACTAATATTAATCAATGAAGAAAATGTATCTCATATATTTTTCTAGTATCTGTTTTATTTAAGATCAATTAGATACGAGTTCTAATGCAATAGTGTCGATCGAAATTCACTCTATATATTATTAAATTAAATATAGATTCCTCAATCTATTAGCATACAATTTGTTCGATAAAATAAATTCGAGAATGACTATAGATTAGGCAAAAATAGAAATGACTGATAATTTAATTTGCATATCCTTTATTTCTTTGTTTTTAGATTAAATTTAATAAAGGAATAAATGTACTTACATACAAAAATCTGTTTTATAACCTTCTCCTTTATCTCTTGCTTCAATTTCTAATCGATACATTGATTTTGTTTCATAATCTAATAAACATTTCACACGTATATCACCTGTGATTTGATCAATTTGAAAACATTTATCTTGACTAATTAAATAATAATTTATTTCTCCATTAACTCCTTCATCATCATCTGTTGCATGTACACGACTAACAATTGAATCAGTTGAAATCATTTCACTAATATTATTTATTATATAAATGGGTTGTTCAAATTTCGGTGGCGAATCATTAATATCATCAATTATAACAATAACATGTAATAGGCCTGTTTGATTATCACCATCACGAGCAATAATATCAAATTTATATGATGATATTAATTCTCGATCAAGCATTTTTTCAACTACAAGTGATAAATCACCACGTATTAAATCATAACGAAGAGAAAATGGAAGAACTGTTGATGATACAATTGAATAACCTTTAAATGAAAAAAACAATCGAATCATATTCAATTTATTCATTCAGTCATTCACATACCAATAATACTATTTTGTCCTTGATCATGATCTATAGCTGATTCTAATTTAATCATTGCACCAATTTGTGCATTTTCAACAATAGTTAGATTCAATTGGTTATTTGTAAATATTGGTTTATGATCATTTCGATCAATAATACGTATAGTAATTAATTCAATATTAAATTGTTCACTATTAATAAGTATTTCAAGTTCTAAATCACACCATGTATCACATCGACAACGACGTAAACGACATAATTCATCTCGATCAATTTCTTTACGTATTGTTAATATTCCACGTGTTGAATGATTAATTAAAAAATACATATAAGGAAATTCATCACGTTTTGCAAGACTAAAATCTGCATTAATACTATCGGAAAAATTTTTTGGAAATAATAAATGTCGAAGATTAATAACTTCAGTATGAACAGGTAATTTTTCCATTGTACGAATTATAAAATGATCATCTTGTTGTTGTTCACAATAACAACAGGAAAACATAATCAATATTAAAAGAATAATGATAAATGAAGGCATGGCATGATGATAGAAATATAAAATACAAAAAATTCTAATCATATCATTCTATCGTCATTCTAAAACGGAAAGAAAAGTGATGTCAATTAGATTGTCTGTCTATACGGAAATGGTCAAGCGCAGCAGACGCGTTTGTCTATCTATACTTTATAATGATCATGTTACATAGAATAAAGTATTTGTTTAGAACATGATTTTACTCTTAAGGAAAGAACTTGTCTAACTTAATCGAAACTATGACAAGCAATTCGAGTCAATTGTAATATGAGATCGAACTATTAACGTTTAGAAATCTAGAGAATAAATGATGTCGTGACAATTAAAAATATTTGATAATATGCCTTTTGTCATTAAGTACTTGCCACTTGTCTTCTTTTTATCTTGATTTTAAAAAAGAATAATAGAAATAAAATAAACAAATCATGATAATTAAATATATCATATAAAGAAGAGATCTTATGTGATTTCTTTTTTCTTTTTTATAAGTGAAATGTCATTATCTAACGTATAAATCTCTATTTTGATTGAGAAAAAAAGAAAGAAAAGGATCAACAAAGGTAGTAGATGTTGTCACTATATACATTGATTTACCTCAATGTAACCGACAAATACCTTCACACTTTTAATCAATTTTTCTCGCGTTTCTTTTTTTCATTATCATCATCATCATCGTCATCATAAAATAAGATGCCGCTAATGTGAGCATCGTTTCTCATATCTTCTTTCGTATAATTGCACTCGACACCATCCTTATTAATGCACCGTTCATTGTCATTCAAGCAAATTGACTTGAGGCCTTACTTCTTCTTCACTATACGATCTATACATATAAACTATATATTTGATTGTCTCGTGCATGACATATAAAGTGTTTTATATTTATCCATACAATACCTTATATAGACGTAATGATAATGGAATCCGTACGATAGCACTTACTCCTAATTTGTTGAAAAAATCAACTTTCTCTGTCTTTTTTATATAAATGATGTTAGAGGCTATCACCTGCCCTCGCTCTTCTCCATCTTCTTCTTCTGTATTGTACTAGTCAGAGGAACAGAAAAAGAAAATAAACAAACAAATACTTCGTCGGTCAGTACTGACAGATGTTCATTTGTATGTCACATAGCTGTAATCAATCAAATAGCTGACAGAAAAAAAATTGGGATTTCAATATTGTTTGTCTTTCATTATTCTTTCTTTCCGTAACTGTACGTTAAAGTATAATCAAATCAAATCAATGAAAACTGAAAAAAAAGAAAAGAAAAGCAAAGTAAAAGAATAAGAGAACTACAATTTTTTCATTATCTATCATCTGTTAGGACTGTCATATTCAAGTTGATGTCCTTGTCAAAAATGGACAAGATATTTCTTATTGCTTATCTAGGAAAGGATAATGAAAAATGATGTCATCAGTAATTTTAAACATTTGACTTACCTCAATGGAGGACTCACAACTGTCTGTTCATTATTCTCAGTATTTAGTTATACATTTGCCTCAAGCTTAAAGAATAAGAAGAAAAAAAAAAGAAAGCGGTCAATCGATACAATATGTCGTGCTTCTCTCTCTCTCTCTCTTGTTCTCTGTCTCTCTCGCTACCTTCCTCTCTCTCTCTCTCTCTCTTCACAATTTCATTCTTTCTAATCACTTGAAGTATCTATGAATAATAATCATAATCATAAGACTAACGAGAGAATGAACAAATAGTGATAAAAAATAAAAAATTAATGAATAACATCTTGTAACTATATTATTGAATAGTTGAATTGAATATACTAGCACCTATTTCTTCAGGGATTTTTAAATTATCAACGAGAATAAACTACAATCAACAATGAGCAAAAAACCATCGCGTTCTTCGTTATTTTTTTTATTGACTATTCACATCAATATATAATTGTATACCTCGAACGGAAGAAAGAAAAGGTGTATGTATGTATACACGAGCAAGAACATCTTCACATTTTATATTCTACTCATAGTTTATTGACGAGTTGAATTAAAAACTTGCATACTTTCTCTCTTTCATTTGCTTCTTTTGATGTATATTCGATTAAAATATCTTCTATATTCAATTGCACACACAAAAAAAATGTATAAATGACAATTTTATTCTCGAATATATATATATATCACAAACTTTTTCTTTTTCCTGTCTACTTCTTTTGCAAACACAATTCATTATTCATATTCACATACGTTCATTTGTCTCATGTTAAAGTGACTGATCGAATCCATAAAAAAAAAGAAGAAAATGTATGATAAAAGTGTCAATACAATACTAATTTTATTTGATTATTGAAGATAATGTACATATTAGAATATGTTGTAACAACTGACATTGATTTTTGTCTATCTAATTTCTAGATACATGAAGCAATTGCTATTATTTTACTTGAGTTATGCCTGATGTCGATATTCAATCAGGATCATCGGGTATATATATATATGAATGTAAAAGAAGATGACAAGTCTATTATTAGTCTCCTATATTCACCATCAGAAACAGAAGCAGTAATAACGATTATTTTATAAGCATACAATGATGCAATCTATCGTCTTAACGAGAAGATTACCTCGACGCACGCTCATTCAATAGATTCACTAATCAAAACAAAAGCAATACAAAATTTTTATTTTAGTCTTTCGTTTTCTTAGTTATTCTTACCATTTACTAATAGTTTTTAAGTTTAGTCACAACTCTACTATGCTCTGTTTTAGATGACTGACAAGAAAAAATAACATACTCAATATCATCATTTGACGTGACCTAAGATAGACAATAAGAGAATTAAAAAAAGAGAAAGAAATAAAAATCAACGACTTCCGTCGAACACTCCCTATTCTTTAAACTATATAGGAAAAGATAAGAAAATCTGATTAGTCCCTTGCTTGCTATTGTCGTCGAACGACATAGTTGAAAAAGTTCAATTAATCGGCCCAATTTCCATCTGATTACGATTTATGTTGTCATCATAAATCGATTTAATCAATGAAAATCTTATGTATTTGTTCTTGCAGAAAAAAAAAGTTTCTTTTTTTTTTGTCTAAGATTCATTCTTCTATGTCTGCATTGTAACGTCTTAGTTTTGTTCAATACATATATAGCAAACAATAAAAAATGACAACAGCTGAACACTGCTGTTACACTCATCATCATCATACATAAGAATAGAAAGAAGAAGAAAAAAAGCATGAGGAAATCAAGCAAAACGATATCAACTAACGTATTTATTCATGTTTATATTAACAGATCAACACATTCTCTTTGCATACTTACTGTGTATATAGACTCTTGGGACTGATGATGATGATGATGATGTTGTTATTACTGAAAAAGAAAATGACGACGATAGAAAGATAGGATATCACAATTGTTGTAGATGTCAATCTTCTTCTTTTTTCATCTTAACTTGTTTGTTAGTTGTTATGAAGAGAGTAGTATGTATGTTCAATTAGAATATGAGTGCGAGCATGAGAATAAGAGAACATTACTATTCTTCTTCTTTTTTCTTCTCCTTCTCCTCTTCTTCTCCTCTTCTTCTTCATCGTGTACTTTTTCTCCTCCATTCCCTTTTCTATCTCTCAAGTACTATCGATCTTGATGATGATGTAATCTTTCTTAACGTTATTTCCAGACATGGTCATGGTTCAATTGAGAATTGAAAAAAAAAACTGTTTCATGATCAATCTTCTCTTTCGTTCTCAAGAGGCTCATTGCGTTCCATGTTCGTAATTTTACATAAGTTTCTTATTCTTTATCTAAGTCTTAATTCAATTTTTTAAATAGAAACAATCATCATTATTATCATTATCGTTGACTAAATCTCTTGAGACATGCAAAGCGATAATAACAACATTGTCATGATTACGAGATATATTTATATAATAGTAGCAAGGACAAGGATACAAAAACGATTGATTTCTATTCAAATAATGTTTATATTAGTATGATCATCAGAATAAGATATACTAGAACCAGGTCAGTTAACGAGCAATGATAATAAATGGATGATTGATCTTGATGATGATGATAGGCGGAGTTAACACTCAGGAAATTTGTTAACAATAATAGAGAGAGAGAACAAGTACGTCTCTTGGACATTGCGTGTAGACATAGACGGACAATATCTCTATTGTCTATAAAAATTAATAGAAGACAAATTACTAAATGAGCCCTATTGTTTTCATAAGATTTCGATTAATTATAAAAAATTTATCAAAAACATTTCAATCATTTTTGAAATGTTACTATTTCATGGCAAAAAAAGATTCAATCTAACTTCAATTAAGATTCGATGATGATAAAGTAAAAAAATGAACATGAAAACTATACATCATTGTCAAATTATTTAGAATTGAATGGCAATTGCATCTGTTGTGTCCTCGAAATAATGATTATTTCTTTTATATATATATATATATATGTATTTGCTTCAATGAACAATGACAATAACAGAAAATGAGAAGAAATGTCAATATGACAAACTATTGTAGAATATAATCATTATGACAATAAGTTATTTAATAAATAGGAAATAAAATAGTTTATATAAATCATTTATTGATCATATAACTTCTTTCCTTTTTTTAAAGACATCTATAAATAACTTGTTTAATTGACTTCATTAGTTTTGGATGATTAAATACATTGAAAGACTTCGAAATACTATTTATAGTGTAGAGATAGTTTAGAAGATTTTCATGATATTGATATAAAAAAGACAACATGTTAGTTAATTAATTAGAAAAAAAAGTAATACCGCTTCCGTCTGGATTTAACATTGATGAAAGTAACCTTGATTATCTCAAAACATCAATCGAATAAATAATATACTTTTTACATGCAAACTTCTAATAAACGTACGATCTCTATTGATTTTATAGTAGGTTTTGCTATAAAGGTTAAACCTTCTTTTTTTTTCTTCTTCAACTAATCAATCGGATGTTGATGACGGTTTTATTGACTTTATAGTATAAATATTTTACTAATAAAATAAATGATTATGCACGTTGAATGACATTATAGTTTTCATTTTTTGAATTACCATGAACGCTATTAGCAATTCATCTATTATAATACCTTGCAATTCAAACAAAAATCATTATAGATAATTATCATGAAGAAATTTCGATAATAAATGTCTTAATAACAAACGTGTGTGATTTGTTTATATAAAAATAACAAACATTAGAATGAGCAATAATATTATTAGAAGAAGAGGAGAAAAAACATTAGGTCGATAACCCTAGACGACAAATTTGAATAACGATTGGAGATTAGTTTCAGAACTGATTTATGATGAATTATATTTGCTAAATTATGAAAGTAGATTAACATAAGAAACAGTGTTGTTGTTTTTGTTAGATAAACACATGATACTTCTCGAAAGATCATCAATCATATTTTATTGTTTATTATTTTTATTTTATATAAATTTAAAATTTTATGTTTTCATATGAGAATCTTAGTAACTTACAATGAATGGATCAATATACACCATACTAATGTTATCGATCAATGAAGATAAGATCATATGTTAAACTAATTGTCGATTTATATTCAGTTTAATAATATAATCTAAAATAGAATATGTTTTATGACTAAAGTAATTCATAGATCAAGGGAAGTTTTAATTCAATTACGTACAGATTATTAAATAATAATACACAGTTAGAATTTATTCAAGCTGAATTTTGAAATATTCAAGAATTAAAATGTCTCTTTTCCGATTATCTTTAGTTGGACTATTTTTTTTTATGTATATCGGTTCCAAAGCTTAACAGATATCATAAGATTACTAATAGAAAGGAAAATATACATACAATTGAACTTATCTTTAAATAAAATAATGTGTTGTAAATTAAATATTAAAAGAAAGTCATTTTTTTTTGTAATTATATATATTAAAATATTTGATGCATGAAAATGTTTTTCAGTCGAGTACAACAAATGTTTCCTATATTGTAATAATTGAGTAAGAATGTTTAATTACAAGGAAAGATTTGTTAAGCAAGAAAAGTAAAATGGATGCATTCAACTAGTTAATTTTCATATCTAGACAGCTAATTTGTACTAAAAATACTTGGACATAATGGATATCATATTTAAGACAAAAAAAGAAATCAGACTTTTTATTCTACATATAAGATTTATCAATAAGCTTTCTTTTTCTTTAAAGAATCAATTTTTAATTGAGTTATATAACATATGTATGTTATATTTATTTATTGATGATTAAACGAATAAATAGAATCTATTAAACATTAAGAATAAAAACGTGAGATATATATATTAGAGTACGATTATGTACTGAGCCGCAAATAAAACGATGATTTTAGTGATAGAATTCATCGTTTTGTTGGAGTTTCAATCGTCGAGAAATCTCATCATTTAACGTATAATGATCATTATTGTTGTTTGAGAATCGAAATAAATCATCATCATTACGTCGACTACGCCATCTACCAAGAATCATATGATATTCATGAAGCTATAAATATATAAAGACAATATATTATTAAAGAAATGAAATTTATTTATATACTTTTTGTAAATATCGTTTCAATTCATCTTTTGTACGAAAATGGTCTGGACGTTTCGGTGGAGCTAAAAAGACAAAACATCATAATAACATAGGAATATGAAAATTCTTCTATTAACATACGTGGTACGTCAGTAAATACTGCTTCAGCAAGATTGAGAAGAACAATCATCAATAAAAGATATGTAATTGTTAGCTTAGAAATCATGATACTAATATTATCTAAATGACATTCACATAAAACGTATGAATATTCAATTAAATTTTTTCATAGATATAAATATACGATTATAAATCTATCTCACGTGCTATATAAATGACGTTAGGCTAAAAAATAAATTTAAACTGATGTTTTTAAATTTTCAGTCGCTTACGTCAGTATTATAATGTTCCTTAGGTAAAAAGAGTATTAAAAAAGGACGTTTTTAATGAGTATTACAGTCTAGGAGGTTCCTTTCAACTACGATAAACAAGAAAAACCTAAAGTGTATTCTAACATTATATAATAGTTTTTCAAAAAATTCTAACGGATTTTTATTGTTTGAAATAACTAAATTCTGTTAATACTGGGAAAGAAAATATTTGACATTGACATGTATAATATGACAAACGTCAAAATGATATAATTAAAATTGAAATTTCTTACACTAAATGAATTTTTATATAATAGCATTAACGTTTTTTTTCTTCATAATAAGTCAAGTGAATAGGAAGAAACAAGAGTCGAGGGAAAATTTACTATAATAAATCTTATATTGTTCTAAATAATTTGATATATATATATATATACATGTCATCTGTAATGCTAAAAAACCTCCGTTTACAACAGAAAAAAATTATGAGGAAAAGTCATGTTTAGTTTTAAACCTGTGCAGTCAAGCAAATATCCTAATCTTTCAGCTAAATGTGAAATAAAACTATAAAATGACGCACAATAAACATGATTTACAAAGACAAAATAGAGTAATATAGTTAAATTGACTATTCTATAAAAGATATTAAAAACAAAGAGATAATTTATTATTTAATTCTTTTCTTCAAGCTAATCATAATGTATAAGGACATTCGGTCTGATTTCTATTTAAATAATATTGTCAACGCCTCCACGTATTAAAAGAACTCTCTAAGAAAGTGTTCCGTTTTACTTAAAAACACTATTTTTTGAAAATTTTGATGGCTTTGCGTGATGCAAATTAAGGGAGAGGGGTTGAGGGATAAATCAGATCGAAAGACTATCAGTATATGCTTGGATTTATTAGGAAAAAATAATACAGGAACGGTTTATATACTAATGTAAATTAAATTGATCAGTGGATGAGTACAAACCTTTTGCAATTTCTTAGAAAAAAACGTTAGTACTTAAATCGAATAGATAACATAATTATATAGTAAAAAATATGTAGGAGTAAATGTCTACAGATCGAATTAACATTTAAAAATCATTTGCAAAGATCACACAATATCCGTTAAATATACTACCAAAAAAATTTTCTTCATGACTCACGGTCCTATCATGTAATGTTAATATTTCTGTAGAAGTACACAAGTTGAGTGGCTTATTAGTAACGTATGTAAGCATTATATATCTATACATGTAAGAAAAAATTGTTAATTTTTAATTTATCTATCTGTTATAAGACATAAGAAATGGCACTCAAAAAATGAAATAAAACTAATACTAATCTTATTTTTTCAGATTATTAAAAAGCTTTACTTTGACTTTAATCGAATAAGAAGTTTTAGCCAATTAGATTTAATTAACAAGAAATATTCTAATGATATTTAATTGATTATAATAAACTATAACAGGATATTTTCTTCATAAAAGATGTACTCAAAAAAGAAAAATATTTCATGTCAGTTGTTTTTCTGATCAATAGAATTATGTTGATTTATTAAAAACAAATTATTTTTCTATAATAAGTATAAATTAATATGTACTAAAAATATTCTCAATAGTCTCGACTTCTTGAAAATTTCTTATAAAGTGACTCTATTAGACTGGAGGCGGATTGAATATTTTCTGTAAAGATTTCAATTCTCTGATAGTGCTAATTCACTGTGTCATTAGTTTTATATTATTATTTGTTTTTTAGAAGAAACATGTACCTAAAATAGATTACTATGTGAAAAAATAAAATAATTCTTAGTTCTATTTATTTTTAAAAAATGTATATAACGCAATAAGGAAGTAGGATTAAATTATATTATTTAATAAAAATATATATTTATTTTTATAGATGACAATAATCTGTATTTGACAAATTAGACTAAAATAAAACAAATAGATTATTATTATTTTCATTGAATAAATGGAAATGGTATTAACAAATGTATTGCGTAAATGATAGATTAAACATAGAAAATACGTAATTTATTACTGTAAATAATAGATTAAAACTATATACTAAAAGAATAATACCAACTGATTAAACTTACATAGTTTGACACTGAATGCTTCTTATAAAATCAAGAATTAGTTCATAAAGTGTTGACTATTTTTCCGAAATAATAGTGTATATATTTAAAAGCTTATTTTGCTTGTCTCTTGAGAACCTATATTAAGTCTATATTTCTTACAAAGAGATAAAGTTAATTACTTTCTCTTATCAAAAGCTTTTTATAATTCAAATTAGAATGTTAATAGAAGTGGGTTGTGGTAATAAATAAATATATAAACTACCTTTTCTCCTTGGTACTATGAATAGTTTTTGCGTAATAGCAAAGGAAATATAATATTTGCTTCAAGCGTAAAAAAGTACATTGTGAAAAACATTATTTATAATGATTAGAATTGTTGATTGATGTGACAAGTTGTTTTGTACTTCAAGAATAAAACAACAATAACAGCAAAAAATTAGAGCATAAATACTTTTGAGTTAAAAAACAAAATTAGATTAATCGAAAATCTTATATTTACATCAATGAAAGTCAACTAGTACAACAGATTAACTCCATTGTAATAATAAATATTCTGAGATAATGCCAATATAGGAACATTCGTCTAATCAGTATGAGTAATCATTGTTTATACGCTATTATTTTTCTCACAAAATAGACTCTCTAAAGTATAGGAAAAAATAGGGTTTATTATTCATTTATTTGAGAATAATTTTATCGTAGCTGAATGTTATTTCTCTCGAGACTTTTCTATTTCAAATATATTCGTGTATTAATTTCTATTTTATTTTCACAGATATATATCATTTATATTTATCTTTATTAATAGTTTCCTTTAATATTGTAAACATTTTTTTCCATTACTTGAAAAGAGCGTCATTCATATTAAGGTTAATCTTTAAAGAATTTCTAAAATCAGCTTATATATATTTATATTAATCACTTAATTAGCTGCTTATTGGTTCATTCCACAAGGTTATTGTAATTGTGACACGTGCATCAACAAATTAGCAAGAATGAAATTAAACGCTTACAATAATCTACTTGAGATTATAAGTTGACAACTTGCGTATATAGAATATTAAAATTTAAATAAGAATTTTAATCTGTATTATAGAAAAATAATCATTGTATTTAAGTGAAATTATATTCTGTTCATTAGCCATGTTTGACAATAAGGGAATAAGACTTGTATTTTATATAAAGAAGATCTACGATAAAAAAAAGAAACGATGACAGATATTGTTTATTTTCTTGTATTTAATATACGTTCAGCCATTCGAGTTCCATCGACACGAGCTCGTATTTTATCATAACATTTTGCTCGTGTTGTTGTTTCATCATCTGCAAATGGTGCATAACCACAATCATCTGTTGTACCTAATTGTTCAATAGGTATAAATCGAACAGCTTCTAATATTCGATCACAAACTTGTTCAGCTGTTTCAACACGTGCATCAGTTGGATTAATAACACCAATAAAAACACGTTGATGTGGTTGAATATATGTTCGAATAACAGCTAAACTTCTCGTTCGATCACGTTCTGATGCTAATGATAAGTAAAAATTCGTTGCATGTAAATTAAATACTCTTGGTAATACTAATGTATAATCAACATTTAATGAATGATGAGAATCTCTATCACCACCTATTAAAAATATATATAGATATTTATTAAAACAAACTGCATTCAGTAATAATTATAATTAACAAAACAGAAATAATGTATCATTGCTTTAGGTAGAATCTGTCAAGGTCGCTGGTTTTTCTTTAACCTCATAAAAATAATATAACATATGTGTGTGTTTTTCTTCGTTCCAGTACTTTTACTCACTCCCTTATTCTGAACCAGATAATGTATTCTTCATATGTGTAGTTAATTCTATTTCTAGAATCATTGTTTTAATAGTTAACTCTATTGAGAATATTGTTGAAAGTTACTGTATAATTTACGGATAGTGTTAAGTATAAAATTTGATAAGAATGCTATCTAATGTATAGTTTTTTTGTTTATTTACCTGGACAAATATGAACACCTAATTTATTTAGATATTCTGGATTATTACTAAATCTATCTAAAACACGATTATTTAACTGGATAAATTTGTCTAATAATTCTCCTGAGGGATCAATTTTAAGTGATAAACGTGCTTCAGTAAAATCCATTTGTATTTTATCAACACCAGCTTCTAAACATAGACGAATGTCTTTTTCAACTTCATTAACTAAATCATCAAGAAATTGTTCACGAGAATAACCAGATATTGTTGCTTGGGGATAAACATTTGATAAAGCTGATGGTGATATAACAGCTTGTTTTATTTGTCGACGTGTATATTGTTTAGCTCTACGAACATAATCAACGGCATATTTTCCATATCGAAATGGTGCTTTTATAAGACGTGGTAATGTACGTTGATGTCCATCAGAAAATGTTATTGTAAAACAATCAACAATATCATCAAATGAATATGCATAAGGATACAATGGAGCTATACTAAATAATACGAAATTAAAATAATATTTAGAAAGAAAACTAGCTTTTATTCTTGTGTATTTCCCATTTTAAGTGCTACGAAAATAACGAATAATATTTTAAATATTGGCTAACAAATACTGTGTGAAAGGAAATAAAATGAGATAATAATACATACGGATAGATAAGAAAAGAAGGTTTAGCTTGTTCACCATCAGTTAATTGACCAGGTCCAGTTTTTTCCAATTCAATTAATGTTTGTCGTACTGCTTTATCTTGTAATACATCTAATTGATTTATGGAAATATGACCTGCTTTATATGATTGTTGACCTTCTAATAATGTCGTTGTTCGGGGTAAAGAACCAATAAGTTCAGTTGGAATTGTTATCTACATAGATATTTTAGTATACATTGTAATTATTTCAAAACGACAAAGTTTACCCATGGTTTAGTGGCACTAATCATATTCGAATGTATTGGAAATGTTTATTTTATTGAAATTAAAGCTAATAATATCTATACGTATATAAAAAAGAATGTCTCTTTGTCTGTTCTTGAGGGTGTGGGTAAGTGAGGGTCTGGAGGTGGTATGGGCGACTAAGCATGTTGATAAAGAACAGTCGCACCCACACCAAGGCCCAACACTGGGTACTCCTGCAAGTTATTCTATAAAAAGAAGTTTTATTTTCTTCTAGTTCAAAAGCGGAAAATCTTTTATGACGTTTATTATAATATGAATTTTTCTTTTTTTCCTTTCTTCCACTGAGCTTAATCAACGTATTACGGTTAATCTTAATGAAAGAAACGAGTCGGATTACTCTTGATAGAAACTACGCATTCGGAAACAAAGATAATACACAAGTATTATAAATAAAATTTCTGTTGTTTCCAAATATTTTCTCTTTTATGATAACTTGACATCTGTCATATGTCTATATATTTACAAAAGAAAATTACCTACGATTCAAGAACATTCTTGATGAATAGAAAATATACCGGATAAAATAAATAAATTCCGTACTAAAAAAATCTTAGTAGTCTTCTTCTTATTTTAACGAAATATGAATAGAGTTGCAAGAGATTATTAATCATATATGACTAATCTAATACATACTTTAATGAAAAGAACTAATCAGTGATGTTCATATTAAAATAATTATGTGCATATGCTATTAGAAAAACGATGTAATTCCTACGGATTTAATTGTAGAGGTAATAGAAATACTATATAATTTATGACATATTATTAATTAAATCATAAGTAGAGTAGTATGATATATGAATATACCTTTAATGAATGCGGAAGTTTATTAAAAAGGATAAATTATCAAATAAAATTTTGTAGTTATTTTTAGTATTGCATGACGATTAGACTTTCTATTATGAATGAGATAAGATCCACATAGATGTTAATAAAAATATACAACAAATATAAAACCATAATTCATAATTTTATACTTTCGAAACATCATTTTTGTCATTTAATTTTAAATCTACTTCAACTTTCAGTACACCAACTATGATATTCCCTAAATCTGTTGGTTTTCATTTTATTGTACTACATCAGCAACAACTTACCAGAAGATATTCTGAATAAAACATACTTTGATGCGACATAATTTCAACAATTAATGTCACTAAGATGTCATTCAACTTCAGAATGACTAGTATACTTCTTTCTCATTGCTATCTAAATTTAGTACGACTTCAATCGTTAATGATATTTTTTGATAATGATAATTTTTCTTTTCTACTTTATTTATTTTTGAATCCCACATAATTAAAATAGTTGCTCTGTAGCCAGTATAAAAATTTCTTTTACTAAGTATAAAAGAAAGTTGTTACTACAATAGATACGATGAAGAAACTCATATTTTTTATATATAATAATATATGTTTAATTATATGTTAATAAAACAGTGACACCATTAGCATTCTAAAAACTACTTGTAAATGAATGAAATAAAAATGTATTTATAGTAGAAAAAAAGAAGTCTTTTCAAATCTTTAGTCTAGACAATGATAGTGCGTTCATTCTATAGTAATAATTGTAATAAAATCAACATCATTTAATTAATATATCTGTTTTATCTTGAAATTTATATTACATTACTTAGATTATAATATTAGACAAGTTTGATTTAACATTATTGTTACGAAAATTGATATAAGAATGGTTCATTAATAAAACCGCTAACGTATTTTTAATATATTTTGAAATATTTTCTTTTAAATTAAAAATGAATATATGAATGTGAAAACTGTCACAATACCAATGTGTCTACTTCGGAAACTTATCACGTGATCTACTATAAAACGAATAATAGATTTCGAAATATCTTCTCTTATATTAATCCAGAATAAAATGTTAATGATCTACTCTTTAGTTTATCTATTTTTGTTATATAACAGTATAAAATTTACTGATGTTATCTGTCTTCATTATTTCTGATTTTATTATGTTATAAGTTATCTTTACGTATGGTTTCTTAAGTAAGTAAAATTTGTATTTGCTTAGTAAATAATATGAATGTGTCTGTACTGCTATAATTTCTCAAAAATCTATCTATGTTAACCATGAAAGAATTATGTCAAATCCTCTTTCTAGTAATAATCTTGCAAAAATTAATCGTTACTGATATTTACATTGATCGAAAAATTGCTAAATGATTCGTCTCCTACCGTAACAATTTTCTTAAGGCATTCTCCATCAAAAAATGACCTCAGTTCCAATACTTTCAAATGACATGAAAGTTTCAGGACACATTGAGCGCCTAGTGAAAAAGTTGTGATAAAATTTTCAGCTTGATCCAACGGTGTTTCACAGAGATCTGGATTCAACAAGTGTCGCAAATAGCTCATTCAGTGTGCTAAATTTTTCAGTTCGGGTTTGCGTAATGTATTAAAAACTTTTTTGTTTTATTTCAAAGAACGTGTCGAGATGGAATGCACGATCAAGTCTCTTTTTTTTGTAAATACTTATCTTTTTCGTGAAAAAGAGGAACTATAACTTCAATGATTCAAACAAAACGCAAAAAATAGGTTTCTACCTAAAGAACCATATACATATATAAAAAAAAGAAATCTTAATTGAAAAATGTGTTCTATCATGCCCTACACTTTGACATGTTCTTTTAAATAAAAGAATAAATAGATATATCAACCGAGCCTGGACGAAGGAATTTGAGATGCGTGTTTGAAAAAGTATCAACTGAGAAAAAATGAGAACCACGTGTTTTTGAGGAATACGTGATACAAATTACTAAAATTTTTAGTCAGGAAAGGGGTGATGGATAAAAACCATATCATTATTGATTCGTATGCATTTATCTCAAGTTTCAAACTTCTGATGAGAATTGACTTCTTTTTTTTGAGGAGGACAGACCTTAATTTAAAGAGAATAATGTTATTAAAACTGGCAGCGTTACTATATTAATTATGTAACGATTCAATCAAAGTATGTTTATCTTGAAATGAAGAACAAAAAATCATTTTTATTATTATATACTCATATTTTTGTATTGCAAAAATTGCACCTATCTTAGTTACAATATAAGATGATGTTTATCAAACAAGTATTTGTTATAAAAGTAAAACTAACAGAAGGAAAAAAAAAGAGAATCGTAAAATAAGAAGTTTTCTACACAGTTAATGTAGTAACAGAGAAGAATGGCACTCAATTTGTCCAAGGAAGCTTTTTTTACAATTTTTTTATTACAAATATATATTTTTCTCAATCAACACGAAGAAGTGGAAAATATAAAACGTGACACACTTTAATATTACTTTGTGTGAAGTTAGAAAGAGACATTTAAAACTCATTTTCTTCGGCAACAATATTCTCACATATTTTTTATAACTATGTCAGAATTGGTTGTACACTTCGTGCTCCTTTTTGTGTTAGTTGGTTCTATTAACAGCAGTTATACCTGTAACTGCTATTGTTCTAGCAGCGGTAGTTATGCTGGTTATGCGTCTTCTAGTACATGTACTAGTTCTGCATGCACATCAGCGTGCATTTATAATGGTTACTGCTCATGGAGCACTTACGGGTGAATATAAAATAACGAATCTTATTTTTATATACTAATGCTTTTTTTTATAGAACTTGTTCAGGCAGTTCTTCAGGAATTAGCTCGTACATTAATACATATACTAATGCATTGGGTGTGGGTGTTATCGTCGCTATTGTGGTTGGAATTCTTATCGCACTGGGTGTATTTATTGCCATTATTGTAGTATTATGCATCTTGGCCAAGAGAAAAAAACGAGCTCAAGTATGGGCTATTCAAGCACAACAGCAAACAATGAATCAGCCAAGCATCATCAGTGGTACACAACAACAACAACAACAACAACAACAACAACAACAGTGGCCACCTGCAACTTATCAGAATCAGTATCCGTCTGCTGTTCCGATAACCTATGGTAATCCACAATATCCACCAACATATTCTTAAATTCAAGCAGTCAAAATATGAACCTAACTTCTTTTTCTCTCATCTCAGATGAATTTTTCCTACTTTTGAATTTTTCAATACTATATGAAAATTTAATAAAGAGTACCCAATTAAATCTAGAACGATATATTGTGAGCTCTCGAAAAATATCAGCATGATGCATGGTACAAGCAATGAAATGTGAATTGGCAACGATAATTGTGATCCAAAGAAGGAATTCGATCAGACGTGCTAAAAAATCAAATGATAAACAATGATAGTAAAGGAGATTCTTGTTTTTAGTAGATGACATCATGTTTTATCTAAGATGTATTGTTATTCTGCTGCTATTTAGAATCTAATCGCTTAGATAAAAAGAATGAGTTTTGAAAAATATACCATCAACAGCAGAAAACACTTATGGGTTCTGCTCGCATTGTGAATGAATAATTAATTGTCAAAGTTTTGACTTTTTCTGCAGAGAGATCTAAATGAATAAATGCGTAGAAAGAAAACTTTTGTCGTAACAAGTTGTATGATTAAGTGTATTTAAATCAAGGTATCGCTCTCAACATGAAATTATTAAAACTAAAGATCTGAATCACTGTAAATGAGTCTTAATTTAGTTATTCAAACTTTAAAATACTACACAAGACTTTCTTTATAAAATAAACCTCATAAATCAAGTACGGACATCTATGTACATTTATTCTATTAATGGATTCCACTGCATCCGAATCTATGATCTTTTCAGTTTCAAACAGAATTTAGACAGAAGAAGCTATATGTCTTTTTCTAGAATATGCAACTTTTGTGTATTTAGAAATAATATTCGTTTATAACATTGTGCAGAATGGATTAATAGTGTGAACAAAAAACAGTAAAAATACCTTGAAATGGCCCTGGTACTTCTATTTGACGTTTTGCAATAACCTCATACCCTTAATGAATGCGGAAGTTTATTTAAAAGGATAAATTATCAAATGAAATTTTGTAGTTATATTTAGTACTGCATGACGATTAGAATTTCTATTACGAAAGAAATACGATTTATCTAGATATCAATAAAAATATACAACAAATATAAAACCATAATTCATGATTTTATAATTTCAAAACATCATTTCTGTCATTTATTTTGATATCTACTCCAACTTTTAGTACACCGACTATGATATTTAGAAATCTGTTGGTTTTCATTGTATTGTACTACAGCAGCAACAACTTACCAGAAGATATTCTGAATAAAACATACTTTAATACGATACAATTTCAAACAATTAATATCACTAAGATGTCATTCAACTTCAGAATGACTAGTATACTTCTTTCTCATTGCTATCTAAATTTAGTACGACCTCAATTATTCATTATATTTTTTGATAATGATAGTTTTTCTTTCCTACTTTACTTATTTTCGAATTACACATAATTAAAAGAAGCTGATCTATAGTCATATAAAAGTTTCTTTTACGAAGTATAAAAGAACGTTGTTACTACAATAGATATGATGAAGAAACTCATATTTTTTATATATAATAATATATATTTAATTATATGTTAATAAAACAGTGATACCATTAGCATTCTAAAAACTACTTGTAAATGAATGAAATAAAATTAATTTATAGTAAAAAAACGAAGTCTTGTCAAGTCTTTAGTCTAGTCAATTATAGTGCGTTCATTCTATAGTAATAATTGTAATAAAATCGACGTCATTTAATCAATATATCTATTTCATCTTGAAATTTATATTACGTTACTTAGATTATGATATATTTTAAAATATTCGCTTCTATATTAAAAATGAATATGTGGATGTAAAAACTGTCACAATACAATTCTGTTTACTTCGAAAATTAATCATGCAGTCTACCATAAAACGAATAATAGATTTCGAAATATCTTCTCTTATATTAATCAAGAATAAAATGTTAATGATCTATTCTTTAGTTTATTTATTTTTGTTACATAATAATATAAATGATATTATCTGTCTTCGTTATTTCTGATTTCCTTCAACTGTAAGTCATCATTACGTATGGTTCCTCAAATAAGTAAAATTTGTATTTGCTTATAGTAGACAATATGAATGTTAAGTGGAATTATTGTAATGACAATGTTGAACTGAAGATACTTCAATTTCATTCAGTTTATCTTGATCATAAATAAATGGAAAACAGAATTATATCAAATGACATCATATTTCAGAATATACTATTGACTTTAAAAAACATTTTTTTTATAGCGATGATATATTTAAAATACTTATTATAATTATTTGTTTTCAAATTTATCTATTAGTCTTACTCTGAGCAAGATCATGCTACGTTGTCATTCGCTTTCTGATACATATACAATACATTTGCTCGTATTTCACAAGGAATCAGTTACATAGACAAGGAAGGTAACAAAATTTGTACCCTGTGTATATATATATGAGAAGAATTATAATGATCAAAAGGTGTTCTCTGATTGAAACTTGAGTGTGAGTATAAATCTTGATCTGAATTATGTTATATTGGAAATTTATCATCTACTCACTGGTTAACTCTTATTTAATGTCTGCACTGCTATATTTTCTCAAAAACTATCGATGTTAATTATAAAAGAATTATGTCAAATCCTTTTTCTAGTAATAGTCTTGTAATAATTATTCGTTAATGAAATTCACATTGATCGAAAAATTGCGAAATAATTCGTCTTCAATCGTACTAATTTTCTTATGACATCCCCATCAAAAACTGACCTCTTTTTTGAGGAGGTGAGATCTTAATTTAAAGAAAAAGATGTTATTAAAACTGTCAACGTCACTATATTAATTATGTAACAATTCAATCAAGGTAAGTTTTAAAATAAAAAAAAAAATTCATTAATATTATTATATACACATGCTTTTGTGTTGCAAAAACTGTAGCTGTCATAGTGGCAGTGTAAGATGATGTTTACCAAACAAGTATTTGTTACAGTAGTAAAAATAAGAACAAAAAAAAGAAAAGAAAGTCCCAAAATAAGAAGTTTTCTACACAGTTAATGTAGTAACAGAGACGAATACCATTCAATTTGTCTAAGTAAAATTTTCCCGGAAACTTTTTTATTACTAATATATATTTTTCCCAACCAACACTAAGAAGTGGAAAATATAAATGGTGACACGTTTTCATATTACTATGTGAAGTTAGAAAGAGACATTAAAAACTCACTTTCTGCGACAACAATACTTTCATATATTTTTTATAGCTATGCCAGGATTGATTGTACAATTCGTGCTCCTTTTTATGTTGGTTGATTCTATTAGCAGTACTTATAATTGTGATTGCTATTGTCTTAGTATCTATAGTGGTTACACTACTTCTAGTACATGTACTAGTTCTGCATGCACGACAGCATGCTCTAATAATATATGCACATGGTACAGTTCCGTCAATTACGGGTGAATATGAAATGGCGAATCTTATTTTTATATACTAATACTTTTTTTTATAGAACTTGTACAGGCAGTTCTTCAGGAAGTAGCTCGTACATTGATGCATATACATCTGCTGCTAGTGATGTATTGGGTGTGGGTGCTATCGTCGCTATTGTGGTTGGATGTCTTTCCGGTCTGGGTGTATTTATTGCCAGCATTGTAGTATTATGCATCCTGGCCAAGAGACAAAAACGAGCTCGAATATGGGCTATTCAAGCACAACAGCAAGCTATGAATCAGTCAAGTATCATTAATGGTACACAACAACAACAACAACAACAACAACAACAACAGTGGCCACCTGCAACTTATCAGAATCAGTATCCCTTTGTTGTTAAGACGAATTATGTTAATCCACAATATCCACCACCATATTCCTCAATCCAAGCTCCCAGAATACAAACCTAACTTCTTTTTTCCTCATCTCAGATGAATTTTTCCTACTTTTGAATTTTTCAATATTATATAAAAACTTAATAAAGAGTACCCAAGTAAATCTAGAACGGTATATTGTGAGTTCTCGAAAAAATATCACCATCATGCATAGTACAAGCAATGAATTGTGAGTTGGCAACAATATTTGTGATCCATATAAGGAATTCGATCAGACGTGCTAGAAAATCAAATGATAAACAATGATAGTAAAGGAGATTCTTGTTTTTAGTAGATGACATCATGTTTTATCTAAGATTTATTGTTAATCTGCTGCTATTTAGAATTGAATTGGTTAGATAAAAAGAATGAGTTTTGAAAAATATATCATCAACAGCAGAAAACACTTATTGGTTGTGTTCGCATTGTGAATGAATAATTAATTGTCAAAAGCTTTGACTTTTTCTCGGAAAGATGTAAGTCTGACAAAGGAAATGTTTGCCACAACAAGTAATTTAATTAAGTATATTTAAATCAAAGTATCGCTCTCAACATGAAATCATTAAGACTAAAGATCTGATGTACTATAAACTAGTCTCAACTTGGTTATTCAAATTATAAAATACTACACAAAACTTTGTTTTATAAAATAAATCTCATAAATCAAGTACGGACATCTGTGTAGATTTATTCTGTTGATGGATTCCACTGCATCCGAATCTATGATCTCTTTTATTTCAAACTGAATTTAAAAAGAAAAAACTATGTCTTTTCCAGAACATGCAGGTTTTGTGGATTTAGAAATAATACGCGTTTATAACATTGTGCAGAATGGATTAATAGTGTGAGAAGTAAACAATAAAAACACATTGAAATAATTCCAGCACTTCTACTCTGATGCTTCACACTAACTCCATATCTTGACAATCACGCCTATTGCTAATAGCCTAGATTTCGCAATTCGCTAGTTTGATTTTCTATGATTTTTTTAGAGTTCTTCCCCTTATATGATTATATAAATAAAGCCAGTCTCAAAGATCCGGAGACCCACAATGCCAACACTCTCCAAAAACGAATGGACAAAGACTATATATAATGATATAAATAGAAGGACTTTCAAGTATTTCTATACTCTCATCTTAAATAAACGTGGTGGAATGAGAAAGTGTTTTTCGATGATGCTAAAGGTATCTAGATATGGGGTCGGAGTAGGAGTGCTTAGGTCATTTCAGTCTATTTTTACTATTTGCTGTTCGCACTATTAATCCTTTTTATACAATGTTGTAAGAAACATATCCTATTTCTAGATTCGTAAAAGTTCTAAATTCTGGAAAAAGACATACAGTTTTTCCCTTCTAAATTTAGTTTGAAACGAAAAAGAGCATAGACTCTGAAAGATTGAGCTCAGAGAATAACAGATCACTGGCATTATATCTGTACTCTAACTGACAGGAAGAATCACACTTCTCTGATTTTGCTTGAAATTATATTTTTCACTTGTTGCATTATTCAAGAAGCGTAGTTGTATGAATAATTAGAAATTGACATATTCATGTCATTTTTAATACCTTTATTACCTAGTATTGAAAAAAAAGTACTTTTCAGAATAAACTATTAAACTAAACAACATAGTTTTTTCTTTACAACAATTTTGAGCAGTGAAATATCAAACTTATTTAATATAAACAATCTTTTGTCACCGATTTGATCAAATAACATGTTAAAAAACTTTAGAAATCATTTGCAGTCTGATTTATATGAGATATCTTATATGTAAGTACAATGAATTTTACGTATCGGGTGTCTAAATATAAAATTGTTTATAAAAAGAACAATTTTCAAGTATTAAACATGGCTATAACTTTGTATTATTTTTTTTTTCTTCCAAATATCTGTATCCCATGTAAAAAAAGGAATAAGTTTTATTTTAAATAAAGATTGTCATTCTAATTTTCTGTAGTTTGTCTAATCAGGGGTAATGAGTTTAATACATCTTTTATGCTATAAATACATCATTCAATGCATAGAACATGAACAGATAAATACACATTATCTTAAATGACATGCAACGCCATTGTTCTACATGATATACTAAGAGAATGTTTATTCCACAGGGCATAGAATTAATTCAAACGACATATTATTCATTAAGTATATTATAGTTAGAGGGAGAATAAGATAATAAAGAAGAATTGTTAAATCAAGCTATTAAATATCAATAAACTTTTATTCTATATAGTTAATAGTATATTGAGTCATTGAATAAAAAATAGTTACTGCATAACTCTAGTAATCTGACAATATAAATTTCATTATTAAAGAATTAATAATAGATTAATATATTTTCTATTATATGAAATATTGTTGACATTAAGATTAAAATCGGCATCGATAAGTATATGAATATGATTTATTCTGCATTTTTTAATCTTAGATTAGTCATATATACAGCTTGATCATCACAACAACAATATCATAGTTCCTTTTTAGTAATTTCGATAACTTTTCTCTCTTTTTAGAATTTATTGGTGAATGAAAACATTCATTGACTTCTTCAACATGTTTTTACGATCATTAATTCTTTACTGAAGACTGATATTGTTAATTGATATATATAAATATATTTAATTAGCTTCGCACGCTATATTTGATTAGTTACTTCTAATGTCTATATGACATACAGCCCATGAACAAGAATTATAAATAAACGTATGATAAGCTTCGATTAAAATAAATCATGCAAATTTTAGAAAGAGAAACACATGTTTTTGATTACTTTTACTCTAGAAAACCATTGCAAAAGTCTCTAAGAAACTCCTATCAACTAATATAGAAAACACTATTTATAATGATTATGACTTTGATTGCACGAATTTCAATGGATTCTCTCTCTATAATTATATTGTTTCATAATAAAACTTTAAAATACATTGAAAAACACATCACAAGAATTTTGATAATTGAATGTACAAGTTAATGATATTAGTAAAAATGTTTCGACAGATTTATGTATATTTAATTCATATTAAAACATAATTAATCATATTTTACAACTTCTTTATAATCAGCACGTGATAAGGAATTCTTTATACTTTGGAAAATTTTCAAAGCATAAAAATTGTACTAATAAAATATATTTACACTACGGAAGTTATTTTCCTGTTAGATTGATTAATTTAATTATTATGGAATAACAATTGATAATACTAATATTATTAACATGAAAAAATATTTTATTTATATAATAAATAATGAAGATAATATCGCAGTTATATAAAAGTTGATAGGTATTGTCGTTTTAAAAATTTATTTTTATCTGCATGATCAAATTTCTCTGTAATAAAAGAGAACTAATGATTTTCATTAATTTTAATTTCAAAAAAAATCCTTTGATTAAATAGTAGAATTTCCGTTTATTAGTTACGCAAAAATGATTATTTTCCAAGATGTAGAGCACTAATAATAAATCTTTATAAAAAGAAAATTTTTCAAAACAAGAATTCTCAACAATGAACTACTCGTCTTTATCATCTCTCATAAAATTTGTAACGTATTCTTCATAAAGTTCGTTGTGTAAAAATTCTGAATCATATATATACGAGTAGTGATAAATATAATTGTAGTAGAAATGGTCATGAAAAGACATATGATGCATAATAAATAAACTTTTTATTTCTCAAGTAGTTTCACTAATGTTCTAATCTAGTGTATTGTTATATGAATTTTATAATGGAAAGAAGTAATTACAGATTACTTTTTTTTAAACTATATTAGTAAATGAATGAGAATAATAAGTAGATCGATTTTTAGATCTATTTACATCCTTGAAGACTTCTATGAATATAAGAAGCATTATTTGTACTATAATAGGATTTTTATTATAAATAGATTTCATCAGCAAATGTCGAACAAATCTAGATTAGCTTGTCAAAAGTAGAAATGATTCACAAAGTCCTTGAAACTTCTCAAAAAACGGCAGATGAAGCTATTATTATTCTAAGTAGATTGTAAGTCATGACATAAAAGAAAAGAATAAATGAATATACAGGTCACTATTTGTTAAAAAGAAATGCTATATAATGAATTTTCTAACTTATAAAAGAAGATTAAACTTCCGTAAAAGACTATTCTATGAACAAGTTAATTGTTTCCGTTATTTTAAAGAATTCTAACTAATAGAAAAATATTCAAACTATTTCATCCCAAATATCTCCAACAACAGTCAGACAGTTCAAGGTTTTTATAAATTTTTTTCCATTTGCTTATTAGACACTTTAATAAATGTAATGTTAAAGGAATGAATAAATATGACCTTCTTTTTCATAAAAGTATGTTTCGTTGGCAATAACAAAGATTATTATTTTCTTTTTACTTGATTTGATTTTTTTTTAAAGTAAAACTTTTGTTTATTCTACCTGCCCAAGTATGGCAACGCACTTTTCGCGAAAACTTTGTTTACATTAAGGTCAATCAAAAAAGTACATTCTTTTTCTGGTGTACCATTTCTAGCACTTTTTTCTTTTCGATTTCGTATGCAATAAACAAATGCAAGACGCCCAACAATAAAAAAAACAGCGTTCTTCATCAAGAGGACGCAAAGAATCTCTAACGTTACATAATATATATCTCTGAAAAAATAATGAATACTTATAGAATCTAAAAAGAAATTTGCTCAACCAATCAAAAAATAATTCATCATATTTTTTATCTCTTTCTATATGCCCGCACTCTGTGAACTTAAATCTCTATCGGCAAAACCGAAAGATTTTCTGCTTATTTCCTACTAATACAATATATTTATAGATATATAATTACAAAAAGAATCGGCGAATCGCAAGTTTTTTATTATTATTATTTTTCCTCTTCTGTCTCACTCATAAACTCCTTTCTTTCGTATTGTTTATATCTAGAAATGTAGACTTTTCTCCTAAGAATCACTTATCTATGCAAAGTATACATAACAACGATAGAGAAGTTAAAAACAACTAAAAGTCTTACACATCATAAAAATTTGAGGTAAGATAATGTGAAAGAAAATGTATATATTCTTCTTAACTAACTTAGAATGCTTCGGACAAAAGGTCAGGATTTGCACTTTAATAGTTTTTGTCGTCTTCTTCTTCTTTTTTATATTATAAATAAAAACTTATTTTTTTGTTCTCTAGACTATCCAATCATTATTACGAATTGAAAAAAGAAGAAATAAATATATTTTGTTAAATACTTATAAAATTTATAAACCGTAATAAACAAATTTTTCTTTATCAACCCACATTTTGCGATTCTTATGCAACGGTAAGCAAGAAAAATTATTTATTCAGATTCTATGACCTAGAATCAATTTTTGTATATATATCCAAAAACGTTATTAGAAATAACTGATTTAAGCAAGATTTTCTTTCGAGAATATTTTTATACGTCGATTATTTGCTTTTAATTAAAGGCACTTGAATATATAAATTAATGTGTTGTTTCGTTGATAAGCATTATTTACTTTCGATAAACATATGGTTTTTTATTTTATTTTTAGTATGACGGAGTTCTCCTAACTAAAATCATGGGTTTTTTACCATTTTTAAAGCTGACTCAAAAAAAGAAAGAAAAAAGAAACATTTTTCCATTCTTCCAAATAATTTCATTTGTTAATTTCTTTTATGAGTATTTTTTTCTGTAAAGGTTTTAAAATAGTTCTTTTTATTTAAGAATAAACCAAGTTTCACATGAGACGATGAAACGTGTTCCAATACCTATTGCATCAATGCCATCATCTAACAATCCAGAAAATAATCAAATGATGCCAGATCTTCTGTGGATAAGTAAACAACAACAACAGCATCCATCGACCCATGCACATCCATTGAAGAATACAATTCGGGTTAATTCAAATGGCATACGACAAAAATTTGATGGTAAACAATGGCGTACTTTATGTCAAACAACTGATGGATATGATTGTCGAAACTTAGCATTTCGCTCTCTACTATGTCAAAAACATTTCTATAAAGTACATCTTTCTAAACGCCCTTATGCAAAAGCTGGATCATTGCCAATACCAGTATTATCTGAAGCATCATTATTTGCATTAAAGCGACCATTATCACATCCATATAAACCTCATCATCATTATCATCATCATCAACAAATTGAACATCACAATTCTATGAATAAAAATGATTCTAGAATTGAACAAGATGATAATGATTCAATTGAACTTCTTGACAATAACGACGTAAGATAAAAGCTATTATGAAAAAACAAAAATATTGAAAAAAAAATAAATTTCTATTAATATAGTTTGAAATAGCCAAGCAAAATACTAATAAAGGATCAAAAAATGACTCAGAACCTGAATTTACTTTTTTTTCAATTGATTGTGATTCACCGTCTGAAGTACATACAAATGAATCTGAACAAATAAAAGTACATTCGGTATGTTACACATTTATGTTTAATTTATCAATAAACAAATTTCTCTTTTTACTAGTCACCAAAATTAAAAAGAATAGATTCATTAAATAATGATTCGGTTACGTCCAATGAATCAGAAAATCCATCTTTACATATTTCGATACCAAAAATAACAGAATCTACTCGTTTCGGTTTACCAACATTAACACGAACAGAAGAAAAATCATTAAGTAATGAACTTATTAGGCAATTACCACCGGATACATCATTATCGATAGCTGAACAAATAGCACGTCGTCGTGCTTGTGAAATAGTTATGGATAATTATTCTCATCAAATGTTACCAATGAACATTGTACCAGAATGGTTTTATGATTTTCTTTTAAGAAATCCACGTTTACCAATACATTTTCGATCATGGTTTTCTTCTGTTAATCCAACAATACCTATATCCGATCAAATCATTGATATTAAAGTATGGGAACTTGGACTTGTTACAAGATCAGCTATTCCATCATCTTCAAATTCAACCAGTTCATCATCACCATGACAAGAGAATTTTTTTTTGTTTATATTTTTCAATAATTGTATTTTTGTTTCGATAAATATCAATGAAAATAAGAAAATATGTATTTTAATGTTAAATATAGGTATATGACAGATGAAATAGTACAAAAAGTTCTCTAATTATCCAAACAATAGGATTTATAGAAGCTTATTAGTAGTTAATTACCCAAGAAATTCCATTATATTTTCATAGCTACAAAATGATTTCTGTCAAGTTTTCGCAATTAGTTTATATATATATAATATTATTCATATCTTTTTTTTAATAATTATTAACAATTGAACCACAGATGTTATATTATGTTAATGTCGGTTGTATATATTTTTTATTTACTACTATTATGTTTTCAATGTAATGTAATTAAGAATAGATCTATATTTACGTCATAACATTTTGTTGATGTGTATTTATATTTCACGTAGGAGTTTAGTGGCCCTTATATGCTCTAGTAGTCATTATTGTAATTCATGTTATTGTATTACGTAAAAGCACTGCATGAACCATTCGTTTCAAAGATTCTTTTTTATAATATAATAAAAATAATTATATTTTTTCTTTATTTTAGAGTAGTTAATACTGAAGATATAGTCGAGAATGATAGATACGAATGTGTTGCTTTTTTCAACTGATTCAATGCATAATATATTTCTCCAGTATAAAAGAAAATTTAGTAGTGTGTACGTTCAAAGAGTACATCATTCAATGATTCAGAAATATGAGCTATACCGTGCTAACAATGTAATCTAATATATCATTGTTGTTTCAATATATTTTTGATATCGTATGACATCACTAACTCTTCGGCGAATGTTGATAGAAAAAGTCAATATCATCAATAACTCATCCAAAGAATCAATAAATCTGTTATCTTGTGAGAATCTGACCACATGTTATATTTATAGAAAACAGCATGATACTCCACAGTAGATCGTCATTCATTTTAACTAAACGACGAAAATATACAACATGCTTATCTTTCTTTTTGCTATTGCTGTAGTCAATACAGGGTTTTTAGGAACGAATGCTGTTTCAAGTACGTTCATATATATGAACAAGAAAAAATTTTATCATGTTATTTTTTTAAAATAATAGATTGCAGTCTATGTATGGTACAAGGAGACTTTTCTGAAACTGACGGCTATGCTTGTTTTCCATTGAGTAATGGACGTGTCGCTTGTACTTGTCCTGATCAACGTTATACAATTGATAAGCCATGCCGTATGAAATCTACTTTCATTAATTAGTCTATCTTGAATTTCAAAAATATTTTTTAGGTATCTGCGAACGAGAAAATATATGTGGTGATAGTCCGGATAATTTTTGTGCGGAAGTATCAGCAATTTCATCAGATGTCGATGGCGAAAGTACACATTATTTTAGCTGTTTTTGCTCTGATCATACATATTATATTGGAAAAGCTTGTCCATCAAGTAAAATATTTATGCTAAAAGATATTATTACATTCTTTTTTTACGGTGTTTTTCAGAAGCAACAACACCTGTATCTACAACGGCAACAACACCTGTATTTACAACGGCAACAACAACATCAGTACCTGCAACGACAATATCAACAACATTAGTACCTACAACAGCAACACCAATAGCTCCAACGACTGCAACGATAATAACAGCAAAACCTTAACTCATTTACTATATGAGATGAAGACTAACTCTTTTACATAATTTGATTTTATTCAGAGTAAACCATCGCTCATTGAAAACACATTCGTTTTTTTTTTCTTTTTCTTTCATTTTTTTTGAAAAAGAAAAAAATGATTAAATCATTTTAAGAAAAAAAGAATTGAATGTTTGCTATTAGCTGCTAGGATGTTTCAATGAGTGTTTTCAATGTTTGTTTGCTTTGTAAAAAAAAGAAACATATTACGAAAGTTTGTGCATATTAAAACTAAAGTGACGTTGAAAAAAAAACGACATAAGAATGGCAACATCACGAATAAGTAGCAATACAAATTTACCATCTAATACACGTGAACAACGTCAAGCACAGGCACGTATACGTGCTCTTCAACGACGAACTAGTGAGTGATATACTATTACGAATCATACTGACGTAAAACAATGAAAACGCTCACTCTCACATCAATAAATGATTACCTTCTGAATAAATAAAATATTGATTTTTATTAGATACTTTATATGAAGATTTATCTCGTTCATCAGTTGTTACTCAAACAGCAGTTGATGATTATAGACAAGTTTATATGACAATAACAAATGAATTTCAAGAACAACGTATTCAACTTTTACATCGTCTTCCTGAACTTGATCATGTACATAAAAATTTAAATACTGTTCAATCACATCATATACCACAAAAGTAAAACTTTTTATTCTTAGTAATCTTTTTATTTTATGTAAAATAAAGTATAGTTTATCTAAACAATCATCATCTGATTTGGAAATTTCTCAAATGAATGATATGATTGATGATATTGATCGTGTACTTAATAAGATAGCTCAAAAACTTAAACCAGTAAGTATTTATACATATTTATATTTGTATCATTTATTTTCGATAACAACTAGTTAAATAGTTTCATTTTATATCACCAAATGATGGAACTACGAATCGTAAAGGATCAAAAGCAACATCCTTAGAATTTCAAAATAATCAACATGGTTCAACAAATGAACTATGTATTTCTAGACTGTATAGTGTGGATGTAGACATAACACCACAATGGGCTGTATCAACAATAGATAAACGAATATTTTTTTGTGATATCGATGGTGAAATACGTATATTTTCATATTCACGTTCTTTTCATCGGCAACCTCTATGTACCGAACATTTCCATTTAACTATTACAAATTTTGTGTCATCATTTACCGCTACACAAGAGTATTTAGTTGCATTTGAAGCTGCTATACAAACTTTAACATTACATACACATCATGGAGGAATACTTTTACGTTTATCTTTTCCATATGATATAATAATGATGGCTCGTAATGATTATGATACAAAAAATCAAATATGGGCATGTAGTCGTACAAAACATAAATGTTATCAATTTCTTTTAGAACATACAATAAAAGAAGTGAATATCTTAGATGAATATGATTTTACACAACCCATATCAAATATTTTCATTGATCCAATTGGTATATCAACGGATGAACAAAATCGAGTTGCTGTTCATGATATAAATTCAACAACAATGGATCGTTTATTACTTTTTACTAATCAACAAATAATGACAATAACACTTGATTTTGTAAAATATCTTGATAGTCTATCCACATCACGTATTGAACAAGTTTTATTAGTACCAAAACATGAAAATATAATTGTTATTGTTTACGCTTCAAAAATTTCAATAACAAATTTACGTGAAATTATTGTTGTTGATATAAGTTTACGACCCGCACAAATACTTCATCGTTTATCTGAAGCTCATGGTATACAAGCTGTAGATGTTACATTAAATGGTGAATTAGTTTATACAGTTCCAGCACAAAAACATAGACGAATACCAACAAGAATGAATGTTTATAGTTTATTCAAATAATTTCGTTTTTAATTTATAAATAATATTTCTATGTTATCTGTCGATTTCAAACTAATCGTAATATTTATTACCTTCAAAATATATATGCGTAGATTGAAAATAAAAACGAAGGTTATAAAGATATAACCTTGAAAGTACAACAAAAAGAGGAGAACAAGAAAAAAAACTATAATTATTTTAACATTTTAGTGAATAATAATGGAGTAGTTGTTCTATATTATATATATTTAGAAGTTAGGAAATAGAACTTTTAAGTTATTTTATTAATTAACTTCGTATATAAATTTTTTGTTTTTTCAAGGAGATATATATAGTCGATATTTTTTGTTCGACCAATGTACACATGTATAAACAAAAATATGATACGACAGTTATATTTACTTCTATGAAAAGAGAAAACCATCAATAAGTAATCGAAAATAACACAATTTGATTCGTTTTTTTGTCTGTTCTTTCGTAAGATAAGATGCAAAATATCTTACCCTGTCACTAATAATATGTAATGTTGACTATGACAAAATCTAAATATTTTCATACTATCACCTTTATACTTTTCAACCTGTTGATAATTATACGATACTATTTTGATGTTATTTATGTAGTGTTTAAACGTAAAAAGAATAGGATGTATTGGATATTTAAATATATATTTGTATTATGTTTAGCATTATGGATTAGTTATTATCGTCAATGGGTCTCAAAAGTAAATCTGTTTTTTTTTTGCAAATTAAATATCGATTTATATGTAAAAACATATATTTTAGTTGAATCGAACTCGTACGAAAGGTTTATCTGATATATCAACTTCATCTTTGAATATTACCGATGGATATTATTTTTATAATCGTTCAGAACAAAATCAAAATGCTTATTTAGAATTTAAACATACTGTATATAAACAAGGACTTTGTGGTAATCTCGAAATTCCACCGTTAAAACGACCATGTACTCCCTATATACACATACATCCTTATCAAATAGAGAAATTTATACTTCTTCAAGGTCAATTATCTTATCAGTTAGGTGACAAAATATATTCTTGTAATATTCATACATGTCCATCACCTATTATTATTCCACCACTTGTTCCACATACATTTTGGATGAATGATAATAAAGAAGATCTTATTTTAATTGTTCGTATTGAACCCACATATAAAACTCATGGTCTACGAGCAGAATCATTTGAAAATATTGTCGGCACTCGTCGTGATGAATATATGAATATTTGGCAAGCATTTGTATTTATTGATAATATTGAAAGTTATCCTGTACGTTTACCATTGTTTTTAACAAAATTATTGATTAAAACTGGCTCATTAATTGGTCAACTACTTGGTTATCAGATAGAATATGAAGAATATACAACAAGAAATTTTTAAAATTTAATTAAAGTGTATTTTTATTTGATGCTCCGTGTTTACAAACTTTTTTACCTCGTATCATAACTTCATGTAAAGCATAAAATTCGACTAGTGAATAAGCAATAAGTACAAAAGGTGTCATCAAAAAATGAAAAAGATTTCGTAAAAAAAATATACATTCATGTACATCTAACAAACGAGGAATAAATATATCAATAATAAAAGCAATTAAAAATGAGAACATTTGAATTGAAAATAGTAGATATGTTGTATAGATGATATTAATTGGAATTTCTTCAACGAGAAATAATGTAGCAAGAAAAGACGTCAAACTATAGAGACCACTTGAACAGAGTAATATACCGTAATAAATAAGAAAAGTCAGGGACCATGAAAGTGATGTTAAAAATGGAATATGCCGAGATTTAACCATAAAATAATGAAAGACTTCAGCTGCACCAATTGTCCATCGTCTTGCTTGTCTTGCCCATTCCATAAATTCATATTCAATTGTTCGACCACATGTTGGTCCACTTAGTACAGGTACAGGAACCATATGAATAGAAAGACGACGACCTGTTACACCCATCCATCGAATAAGACATATGATATCATCCATTTGATAAGCTGGATGAACATAATTTCCACTTTTAGCCAATGTTAATGAAAATGAAAAAATACTCATTGTATTTATTGAAAATGGTATTAATGCACCTAACATTAATGTACTTCGTAATAAACCTGTAATTCGCGTAAAAAATGATAAACTATCTAAATTCCAATTATAAAAAAGTGGTGGTTGATAAATTGTTGTTAATGTTGGATAATTATCTTTTACATATTGATAAGTTAATGCAGCTATATATTGACGATGAAATTGTGAATCAGCATCACATGTTGTTACTAAAATATGATTTCCATTTTGTTCATCATTTAATTTTAATTGTTGTACTGCTGTACGTAAAGCATAATTTGAATTAGAACATTTACCTGGAATTTCATTTGGTATATCATATGGATGAATAGTAAAAATAAGATCTCGAAAACCAGTTTTTGAATAATAATCTTCTAATGTTTGACATTTAAGATGTACATCTGGCGTACGTTCTTCAAATGAAATTACCATTGATATTCGATTAACTTCAGTTTGAGCTGCAAGTGTATCAACACTTCGCTTGATTAATTCTAACGGCTCTTTATAACAACTAATGGCAACCACATGTCGGATCTTATTTCTTTCTTCAATTGTTAACATGGCGGAATAATCTCGATGTCGATAACTAAAAACAAAAATATATATGTATGTTTGTATAGACATTTTAGGGAAAAATAAGAGATATAATCAACATACTGGAAAATAAGGAATGCATTTCGTGCTGCAAGAATACTGATGATAAACCAAATGAGTACAAAAGTACCTTGTATAGATGGTAAGACATAGATAGCTGCTTTATTAGAGAGAAATGGAAGCCAAAAAGGTAATGGACATATAATCCAAACTAATACATTGAAGATTAAATTCCAACGAAATCGCTGTCGTCCATCTTTTATTTCATGATGATTAATAGGTACTTTTGTCTCTGGAATCGGTATTGAGACATGAGTAATTGGTAATGATGATATTGTTGGCCTTTGTTCTGGAAGCTCTGTTTCTGGCAAAGTATAATAATCATTATAAGAAACCGTTCGACGATATTGTGTTTTGCTATCATTTATATCCGGCTGAAATCCGGGGTTTTGATAGCTTAACGTAGCTTTTAGATTATTTAAATGAGAAGTCATTGTATACTAAATAGTTTCATATAAAATTAATACTTCATTTATACATCCTTTTATATTCACATATTCCACTTACGTTATGAGTAAATGTACTTTTTTACTTATTTTATCACGATGTCTTAAAATAAATATTATGATGAGTCATATGTCCGTATTTTAACACGCTAAAAAAAGTGTACCTATACAATTTTTAATACTCCTACACTGTACTTTTTATAGCATGATATGTACTTATACAGGCATACATGACTTTTAATAAGCTCCTTAAAATAAGTATTTGATCAATGTTAATAAGAAAAAGATCTTTTTGCTTAAAATAGAATTATAAATATTTGATTGTTTTACACGAAAACTGATTATAACTAGACAAATATTTAATAAAAGTATCCGAGAAGAATAACACTCTTTTATTTCAATATATTTGTTATGTACTGACAACTATTGTTGGAAAATAAATTTAGTGACAGCTCCAACGGAAGATCCACCCGCTTGTCAATTTTGTTTTTTCCGGTTTCATATGTATATACATCAACGTATGTTAGTGCAATACGATTAGCACCCATTTCATCGTTCTTGTATTGCCTACTTCTTTTGCATCTTTTCTCGTTTTGCCATCTAAACTCGAAGAATCGAATGCATACAGTGCATGAAGATCGTATATGGTGAGCGAGCGAGCAAACGTGCATGCACGCGCGTCTAATTGCCAGGAGATCGCTTTTCATCCGGCAACACACATGCAATGGTCGACGCCATCTAACTTAATACAGAACAGAAAAGAAAGAACAGCATGAGAACGATCATTTTCGCTCCTCGTCATCTTTCTGTGATCCGAGATGGTTGGAAAAGAAGGAAAGAAGACAGACGATAGCGACGACGACGACATCATTGATGACTTGTATGTTATATGTGCGTGCGAATATAAGTTTGCTTTTTTGGCATTGGTAATATAACGGCTGGCACCTTCTGGCCTTCCTTCGCATGTTATGCTGTTCTTATAAAAAAGCGAATGAAAGAAGGAATCACTTTCTTCTTAAAACATTATCAACGTCTGTATCGATGATATATAAATACACAGATGGTTTGGCTTTTATCACTGTTATTAATAATACTTTTGTTGTTGTTGTTGTCATCATCACTATTCAATGTTTCTCTTTTTTTTATTCATCATCATCATAATCATTATATTATAGATTTTTATCATTATAGATGCTAATATATTATTTAGTTCAAATGATTAGATTGATATATTATTTTAGAAAAATATTATATTCATAAGCAATTAGATGTAGCTCATTTTTCTATAAGGAAAAGAAAAATTTTCTTGTATATTGAGGTTGAGAATAAATACGCATATGATCCTATTTCTTATTTTCTCGTATTAGTATGACTATGTTATATGACATTCAGATTACTTGTTATAGAATACGAAAAGAAAAAAAAATAGTTCTAAGTGAAATTAGTGAAGGAGACCTTGGAGCATTTGTGCTTATGTATATGTTTCTATTGCAAGGTAGATCAAACACAGAGAGAAGGTGGAAGGAGAGAGAGGGAGAGAGGGACAGAGAGAGAGAGAGAAAGAGAGATAGGGAAAGAAAGAGAAAAAACCGAGAACATTAATAATGTCGTCTACCTCGCATTTTTACTACTGTTGTTTTTCATCGATCATATATTAGTTCACTATGTTTTCATTCTGCTTGCTTGGAAGATTTTACTAACAACATAGTTATTTTATAGTTACCATCAATAATATAAATCGAGTTTGACTTTCCTCATTTCCTTTCTTTCACTCGAACTAATAAAATGAAAGTGTCTTCTTTCTTTTTTTTTTTGCATTTTTTTTCTTTTTAGCTATTTTCTTTTTTTTATTCTTTCTTGATTGTTTTATTTTCAGATTTTTTAGCTTATGACTATTGCAGGCACACCCATTACTCGATGCATCTACTGATAGATGATGAGTGTGAGTGGCAGCAGCGGCAATTGAAACTTACATTACTAGAAATAGCAATGACGAACACTGCCGCCAACAATGCTCCCTCGCAATCATGTAATCAATTTATCAACTTTACCATCACAAAATATTATTAAAACATCATCTGTTTATCATCAATTAATCATCAATAAGCAACAACAAACACGGAGAAGACCCACAAAGACTACTACAATTACCACCATTACGAGTACTTCGCTCATCTCGGTGAACATTACAAACATTACTACTTCTTTTTCTTCTTTCATTTCATCGACTCAACAGCAGCAGCAGCAGCAACAACAAATTTCATACGAGGACTCCTATTCGGCTAAGACAGGAATCAAGACAGCAGCTATTCTTGGCGGTATGTAATTTATATTGTAGAAGAAAATGAAGAAAGAAAGAAAAAAAAATGACACTCATTTTATCATTACTATTTTTACTATACTATTGCACGGATTCATCGATGTATAAATGATTTTCTTGCACGACACTATGAGACTTAACATTTTAAGATCAGAAGAGAAAAAAAATGCATGTCTTCTTTTTACACGTGAAACAAAATCCTTTAGATATAATCTTTAAAATAAAAAACAACATGAGGGAATAATTCTTATGAATGATGGCCGGAAACAAAATAAAAATATCCTTAAACCAATAAACAACTATTGATTTTTCAAAACAAATTTCTTTTCTTTTTCCTTCATGATAAAACTTCACGTCTTAATATATCAAAATCAAATTAAGTTTATATTTTCTACATTGTTCTGTATGTCTATTCCTATAAAAATAAATATTATTAATTTCTCAATTAATCATATTTAAATAAGATATATATCTAGAGAATAAGAAGAAAATGATATTCTTATGGTAAAATAACTGACGAAATTAATTTTTCTTTTTTTTTTGCTTTACTTATATTACAGAAATATATTTAATCATAAATAATGAAAATAGTCATTACATGCTTCAAAAAGAAAAGACAAGAAAATAAATCTTAAACTGACAATGTCTGTAAGTTTTTTTTTCTTGCTTAGGAAAGCTTCTTAGTATATATAGTATTACGGATAAATTGATCTAAATAGATAGATCTTTGTTCTATGATAAGTACCACTTAAGTTGAAGAGAAATAGAACACTCCTGAAGCCTTAATATATCTAATATATAAATATACATTATGTCAAAGGGGAAAAATCGCCTGAGATTCATAACAAAAGACGAGAATCTATGGCAATGGAGTAGAATAGTTAAGAAAAAATTGTCAAGAAAGATATGGGCTTTTGAGTATGAAGGATGAAAGAAATTAGTGATAAAAGAAATGTATCAGATTTGAATAGAAGAGAGAGGGAGGAGTGTTGAGTATTGATAACGAGTTCTATATAATGGAAGAAAAGCATTAAAGTCATGATTAATAACTCTAAAGTTAAGAAAAAACACTTTGCATAAATGAAACGTAGACATTTATGAGAATATAAAGAATAAAAATTTCTTAATACTTATATAATTTGTCAAAATAATGATTAGATTGATATACTTCGTTTTAAATATAATTTATCAAATTGTATTAATATTATAGGTATGTTAGTGCTTGTTATATTATATTTAATGTGGAAAGCTCGTGCACGTTTATGTCGTTCATCATCAACTGGTATGCGTCATCCACGTTTATCAGCAGCTAAATTCGATTTAGATTATTGGCTTAAACAAGTTGATTTGCTTGAAGCAAAAGAAGCGGAACGTAATCGTGGTGGACAATATCCTTATCTTGAATTACCTAATATCGAACCGAGAGATAATCGTGAAGCAACAGCCTCATGGATTGTTGATGCTTATCGTCATTGGCGCCTTATTCAATATCGACAACGACAACCATACTATCGACAAAATACAACTCCACAAATCGAATCGAATCCTATACCTTATCGAAGACGACGTTATTTTCTACGACGTTTAATTCGACGACTTTTCTCATCGTCTCGACAAGATTCAAAATATTTAATGGAACATTCACAAGTTTTACTTGCTGGTATGAGACCAAGTGTAGTTAGCAATCATTTTATTCCACCAGCAATGACGCCAAATTTACCAATTCGACGAACTGCTTCATGGCCTCGTCTTAAATCGAGTCACCATCAGACAGGTGCCCCAATGAGTGCTCTTCAAACACATCTTGCTAGAAAACGTCTTCTTAAACGAACATCGAGAACTATATTCGATATGTAGGAAACAAGATTCCAGTCTTTGTTTGTGTCTTATTTGTTTTATTCCTTATTGTTGTTCATATTAACAAAAATAAAGATAGATTTTAATGATTTTTTTTATTCAAAAAAAAAAAAATAGAAAATATTCTTCTTTTTCTTTCATATTTACGATGTGAATACAATGTACGACGATCATTTTTTTTGGGCATGTTGTCTTCTTCAATTTCTGTTAGAGAATTTGACAAGATTTTATCATTATATATTATGATTAATAGAAAATGATCATATAATATTCCTTAGTATATATATTAGAGAGTATTGACATATATCTGAGTTGACTTTTAATATAAATCTTTAAGATATATAGATAATGAATTTAAAGAAAAATCTAACATTCAGTTTGTTTTGATATAATAAATAAATTTTCGTATTTTATTTCGAATCAAATATATATTTGAAAGATCAATTCAAAGAATGGTAGTTCGATCGTAAAGGACAAATAAAGTATTTTTATCGTACTGAAAATATAGACGATTAATAATTGTTGATTGACATAGTCTGTTTTTGCAATATCTATGCTTGTTTATTTTTCTATAACCAGTACTTATCTCGTCTTTCATCAATTTATCATGTTATTTTGTTTTTGTCGTTTTTTACCCATCAACATTAAAGCTGTATTTATCTTCGTTGAAAGACAGATCTTAATCGCTGATTGTGTGTAACCTCTATTTACTTTTCTTAAATATCATATTTTTTGTGTCTAGCAAAATCAATCAAAACATGTAATTACATTTCGACTAGAGATTCAAATTTCTAGTTTTGTTTACAACTTCAATGTAATATATTCCGATCAAGATAACTAAAAATACTAGCAACGTAAATAAATTTATATCTAAGTAGTAGTAATATATTCAGAATTTTGCTGAGTTTTAAATTATTCTATTGTTATAATTATGAGATTGAGATCAAGGTTTTATACAATTGAAACGGTAGTATAAGATGTTGATATGTATATAATAAATCATTCATGATAATATAGATTATATACATTTATTTCGACACCTCTAATAAGTGCTATCTATGTTGTAAATAAAAATGCAATTATATTAGATAGAACATGAAAAGATACAAATTATATCAAAATTATTTTATTTAGAAAATAAGCAATAAATGCTTACATATAATTATTGAATATTATAACTCTTAGAATCAAAATTCTTCATAAGCAATATATAAACCCATGTAAAACCTGGCCAAATCGCTGTATTTCTTCCGTTAGCATTTTGATACCATGAACGACAACCACCACTTTGCCAAACTGTTTTCATCAATTTTGATTGTATATTGTCATTATAACGATTGTTTACATCTTGTTTCACATCAAGAGATTGTGCATTGTTCTCATTCATATATAAAAGAGCTTGGGTAATGTATTGTATTTGTGCTTCGATCATGACTATGATTGAATTATGACCAAGACCGGTATTTGGACCAACAAGAACAAAAAAATTTGGAAAATTTGGTACTGTTACTCCACGGTATGCCTAAAAAATAATTGTTCATTAAAAAATAAATATATTATGAAAAAGATACTCACACTTATACTTTCAGACCATTCTTCTGTTAATGATTTACCATTCACTCCGTATACGGGCATTGGAAATGTTTGAACCATATATCCAGTTGACCATATAATAATATCTACTGGATATTCATCACCATCATACGTAACAATACAATCAGATTTGATTTCTTTAATACGATTTGTAACTAATTTTACATTCGGTTTTTGTATTGCTGGATACCAGTCATTAGTAACAAGTGCTCGTTTACATCCAAAATCAAATGGTGGTGTTAATTTCTTTCTCAATTCTTCATCTTTTACATGCATTCTAAGATTAAATTTTATCAGATTTTGATAAAGAAAACGAACAGGCAAACGATAAGTAAAAGAAAGAACAGTAGTTTCACGAATCCAATAAATTAAACCTCGAACTAATTTTTGAACAATTGGAAATTTTCTATATAGCTTTTTTTCCCATTCACCTATTACTCGATCAGCTCGTGGAACAACCCAACCTGGAGTACGTTGAAAAACAAGTAACTGTTTAACACCAGTCTTTTGAAGTTCAGGTACAGCTTGAATAGCACTAGCGCCCGTTCCAATCACTGCTACACGCTTATTCTCAAATTCAAGTGTCTTATCCCATTCGGCTGTATGACACATTCTACCTTCAAATTTATCTATACCAGGTATATCTTTTGGAAATGATGCATTTGATAATGGACCGTGACAAGACATTATAAATTTTGCATAAATATGATTTTCTTCACCATTTGATTGTGTTATGACTTCCCATAATTGTTTATCATCTAGCCATTTCATTTCTGTAACTGTTGTATTAAATTTAATGTGTCGACGAATATCGTATTTATCAGTACAATGCTCAAGATATTGACCTATTTCAGGTTGTCGACCAAAAAAATGAGACCAGTTTGGATTAGGTTCAAATGAGAATGAATAAAGATTTGATGGAACATCACATGTACATCCCGGATATGTGTTTGCATACCATGTACCACCAATATGAGCATTACGTTCGATAATAATAAAATTATCTGTACCTAATTCTCTTAATTTAATAGCCACGCCTAAACCTGAAAAGCCAGAACCAACAATAAGAGTATAATATTCATTTTGTTTTGAACTTTTTGTAACATTAAGTTTTCGATTTGATCGTTCTTTATTAAAATTGCATACATCGAAGATTAACCAATAAAAAAATTGACCGGTAAAGCCAATGATCACTGTGATACACATTACTACATATGCTGTCACAAGTAGTAATAACATACGATATTTGTCCCATGAACTCTTTTCCATCTAAAATAAAAAAAACGATTATCATATAGGTATAACTATACACGAAGTTGACGAAAAACAAAATGTAATATTTATGTTAGAGAAACACAAAAATATATTTTCACGGATCAATGCATTTTTATATACGTTCGTACTAAAACCTTATTTCAAAGGTTAGAATAGAAGGAAGAACGGAAGTATTATTTTGATTTTTTCTTTCTTTGTGATTTACTTGCAAATATAATGGAAAGAATATTCATACAAAACCCAAGACAAGACTCACATATTGAAACGCATTGGACCTAATCATTGTTTTCTTAAACCTGGATTTTACGTCAGATTTAATATGAAAGAGAACGAAAATATTATACTTGTGAGTACATTTTTCTATCCAATCTAGTCAGGTCTCACGCAAAATAATTACAGGAAAAAGGTTATATCTTCCTAAGACATAGAGTACAATCTCAATTTTTTAGTTCTTCGTTAAAACTATAAGAGAATGATCTTTTCTAAAGATAAGCGGCGTTGAATGTATCTATATAAAAAAAATAAAATTGAAAAATTGTTTAATAGAAAAGAGTTTGTTACATACATTTGTAATAAATGATATAAAATTTTTATTTATGAGAAAAGGTTTTAAACATTCTTTTCTCAGATAAAAACCATGAAACGGTTTATCGTTGAAAAATAAAATTTTTAAAATCAAATGTTTTCATAAGTAATATATAAGTCCATGTAAAATCCGGCCAAATAGTTGTATTATTTCCTTTAGCATCTTGATACCATGAATGACAACCACCACTTTGCCATACTGTTTTCTTCAATTTTGCTTGTAAATTATGATTAAATTTATCATGAACATCGGGTTTCACATCCAAGGTTTGTATATTATTCTCTTGCATGTATAAGAGAGCTTCAGTAATATACTGTAATTGTGCTTCAATCATGACTATAATTGAATTATGGCCTAAACCAGTATTTGGACCAAGAAGAAAGAAGAAATTTGGAAAATTAGGTACTGTTACTCCTCGGTATGCCTAAATGAGAGTAAAATATATTTAGATATATCATCTTATAAAAAATACTTGCTTGCATAGTTTCTGACCATTGTTCCGCTAATGGTTTACCATTCACTCCATATATAGGTAATTGAAAATTTTGAACAAGAAAACCAGTTGACCATATAATAATATCTACTGGATATTCATCACCATCATACGTAACAATTGAATTAGATTTAATTTCTTTAATACGATTTGTAACTAATTTTACATTCGGTTTTTGTATTGCTGGATACCAATCATTAGTTATTAGAACCCGTTTGCAACCTAATTCCCATGTTGGTGTTAATTTCTTTCTTAATTCTTCATCTTTTACATGCATTCTAAGATTATATTTAACAAGTTCAGCATTAACATATCGAGTAGGTAAACGATAAACAAATGATAATACAGTTGATTCACGTATCCAATAAACCAAAGCTCGAATTAGTTTTTGAATAGCTGGAAATTTTGCAAAAAGTTGTTTTTCAAAATTAGTCACCTTTCTATCAGCTCGAGGAATAACCCATGGTGGAGTACGTTGAAAAACAAGTAATTGTTTAACACCAGTCTTTTGAAGTTCAGGTACGGTTTGAATAGCACTAGCACCAGTTCCAATCACTGCTACACGTTTATTTTCAAATTCAAGTGTCTTATCCCATTCGGCTGTATGACACATTCTACCTTCAAATTTATCAACACCGGGAATATCCTTTGGAAATGATGCATTTGATAATGGACCATAACCAGCCATTACAAATTTTGCATAAATATGATTTTCTTCACCATTTGATTGTGTTGTGACTTCCCATAATTGTTTATCATCTAACCATTTCATTTCTGTAACTATTGTGTTAAATTTAATGTGTCGACGAATATCGTATTTATCAGTACAATGTTCAAGATATTGACCAATTTCAGGTTGTCGACCGAAGAAGTGAGACCAGTTTGGATTAGGTTCAAATGAGAATGAATAAAGATTTGATGGAACATCACATGCACAACCTGGATATGTGTTTGCATACCATGTACCACCAACACGAGCATGACGCTCGATAATAACAAAATTGTCTGTACCTAATTCTCTTAATTTTATAGCTGCACCTAAACCTGAAAAACCAGAACCAATAATAAGAGTATAATATTCATTTGGATTTGAACTTTTTGTAACATTAAGTTTTCGATTTGATTGTTTTTTACCGAAACCACATACATCGAAGATTAACCAATAAAAAATTTGACCAGTAATACCTAAAACAGCTGTTAAAGACGCCACGGTATACGAACATAATACGTATAACAGTAAGCGTCCTTTTGACGGTGGTATTTCGTCCATCTAGAAAACAAAAAGAAAAACAACTCATTATTTTTCATACACAAACGTTAGCCGAAGACAGATCTACTCGTTGCACATTTTAAATATATATATATATATATATCTTTACCTGTATGCGTCATAGAAAGCTTCGTACGAACGCTTCGTTCGAACGCAACCATATAGTACCCGATTGCCGTTATCAAAGACTAAAGTGCACACTTTTTTTTCTTGTTTTTTCGTTTCTTTTCTATTTTTTCTATTAAATTATTGACTTAACTACGTTATAGCTTTTATTTTTATTCTATTCTTTTTCGTCCTCGTTCATGCTACATATAAATCTGATTAATCTTTGTATATGTCAAGATCCCTATTTGAAAAAAAAATGTTTTGTACATATACAAATAACAGAAGATTTTATGATTGTGAGTCATTTAAAAAATTTAAACATAATAGAAAAATATAACTAAAAAATAACTATTTTATTTCAATCAATGTTTTATCGAGTCATATTTAAAATAGATCTAGCTTTTCGAAGTAATGGTTTATCAACCATTGTTTGCCCACGAAATGTAAATGCACCTTTGCCTTCTTCTTTTTCATGTTTATCATATGCTTCAATTAATTCTTTTGCCCATGCTATACTTGATACTGATGGTGAAAATGCTGCTTGAACAATTGGTACTTGTTGTGGATGAATAACTTGTTTACCAGTAAAACCCCATGCAGCACCTTGTTCAGATTGTTTTTTTAATCCATCTAAATCTTTAAAATTAATATAAACCATATCAATTGGTTGAGCATTTTCGAATAAACGACATGTAGTAATTATTTTTTGACGAGCATATGTTAATTCAAATGCTTCAGGTGAATAACGACCATTAATACCAACATCAGCTGAAAAATCATCGGAACCAAAAACAACACCTTGTAATGAAAATAAACTTGAAGCAGTAGTGAGAATTGAACGAAGATCAGCTAAACTTCGTGCACTTTCACAATATATAACTAAATTATATTGACGATTCGACTAAATAGATAAAAATAAGTTTACAATATACATATATATAGCTCGAAAAACAACTAAAAATTTTGCTAAGCTATCGCTTTTAGAGTCTTATTATTTGAGAATTTAAACATTTGATTTTGTAAATGCAATTCAACTTTCGTTTTCAATGAACGACAAGAGCTTTTCATATCATAATGACTTTCACTCGGGAATTATTTGATTACGTAAATCATTTCTTTTGAATGCAAGTACTTGAAGTTTTTCTATTAGAAAAATATCATTTAACCAATCGTATACTTTTACTTCTTTTTTAAGTATCCTCTTTGTCACAGTTACAATAATATTAAATTTCATATTCTCTAAGTTTGAGTCATATGTAAGAAACTATTGTCTATTAATGATTAAAATTTTGTCATAGAAATTTACACTTACACCAAGACGATCTGCAAGCCATTTCATATCATCAATTGAATCAACTTTAGGAACAAATAGACAATCAATTGATGTTGATAGATCTTTTAAAAGTTTAACATCCTCATTGATATGATTCGATGAAACAGCATTAATTCTAACACATATTTCTCGAGTAATTTTCGATGCTGATTCGTTTAAATAACGATAGATATTTTCACGTGCTATTTGTTTTGCCGTTTCAGCAACACCATCTTCTAAATCAAGTACAACACAATCTGTGTTAGTAAATGTTGGAAGTTTTGTTAATTTTTTCCAATCACTCGAAGGTACTGTCAATACAGCACGACGAGGTAAACTTCGACCATAAAAAGCTCCTGCTTGACGTATAGCAGCAGCAGCCGCAGCAACAGCACTACTCATATTTATTTTCTATTGGAAACATGTATCAATACACATAGTAATGGTCAAAAAGAATTGACCAATCATAGTTGATAGTAGTAACTATACATATGGACGGATTAAATGATCGAAATATAAAGTTTATTATTATATGTAAATGAATTAAATAGAGTAATTAATAAGATATATTTTTTGCCTTGATTTGAATGTATATGAGTGACCTCTGTCGTTCGATATCGCTAATGATTTTTTCTGATTATATCTATAAAAATTATTACAAACGAAGCTTATAAAACACTGTTTATTCCGAAAACTAATTTTTTTTCTAGTGTGAATATTTCATGTAATAACAAGCATAAACTGACAACTGAGTCTTTATAGTTAAGGTCTCGATAGATTAGGGTGTGTAATACGGATGTGTGTGAGAACATATTAGATCTTATACGATATAAATTATTACAATCAATATAGTTCTATACAAAAAATATGAATTAACTTGTCAATCTAAAAAAGACCATACACGATGAGGTCATACATTTTCCTTTCCTTGTAGTCTGCCCTTTTTAGTATGATAGAATAATAAATTCTTCACTTTTTTACTTATGCAGTTTTTGTAGATAACTTTTCTAATACTAAAATAATCGTAATCTAAGTATATCATATTGTTTTAAAACTTATTAGCAATCATATACGATTTAGTCATCTAAAAAAAACTACCAGAAATAAATCTCAAGGCTCCCATGTTTTTGTAACCTTCTTGACAACATTTGGAATATTATTATTTATAATTCTGTAAATATAACCTTCTGATCGTTTGACGATGATAGTCATCGAACGTCCTTTAAGTTTATATTCTAAATCTTACTATACATTCAAATATATATTCTATGAATGAAATGTATTATTTAATCTATCGATATGTCATATTTCGAACAGATAGATTCTTACGTATAATTGTAAATATCGTGTATATAATACTATTACTGAGCTATAAGTAAAAACGACAGAAAGAAAAACAAAAGAAAAAGAACGAAAAATATCTCTCGCTTTTCTCTCTCTCTTTTTCTCGCCACTAGTGTCTGACCTCTTTGATTCTTTCACAGTAGCAACGTAAAGAAGAAGAAATATGCAATCGTTGGTTGATCTTGCATCGAATATAATTGATCGAGAAGTATTTACTTCATGTACAAATGATTTTTCTCGTATAAAATATCTTCTATCATCTTCTGAATTTACTTCTCTCCTTCAAAAATCATCATCATCACTCTTAGATGAACAAACAACAAATTTAAAATGCGTAAAAACATCTACGGAATATCGTGAAAAAGGAAATGAAGCATATGCATCTCGTAATGATCAACTAGCTCTTACATTTTATAATCAAGCAATTCGTTATGCACCATCTTATTCGCGTGAACTTTCACTTGCTTTGGGAAATCGATCAGCAACATTATTTAATCTTAAATATTATGAATTAGCATTACAAGATGTTCATCATGCATTGGATTTTCTATCATCAAATGATGAAGATAATATACGTCGTGATCGTCTTGAACAACGTTTATATCAATGTCTTAAAAATAAATCAGAAGAAAACCAAACAATTGATGATAAAAATAAACAATTAGATAATGAACTTGAACAATTAAAATCTAACCAAACATTTAATACTAACTATCCAAGTTTAACATCTTATGCGAATATTCAAATGTCAACAGATCGTGGTCGACATGTTGTTTCTACAAATGTATCATCAACATTAAAACCTGGTACAGTTATATTAATTGAACAACCTTATGCTTCTGTTTTATTACAACCAGCATGGTCAACACATTGTCATATGTGTTTACGTCGATTGAATCTACTTCTATTTGTTTGTTCTCAATGTACACGAGCAGTTTATTGTTCATCAGATTGTCTTCAACGTTCTATAGTTTGGCATGCATTTGAATGTCGTCTTACAATTGATCGTCTTGATAAAATGCAATTATTAGCATTACGTTTATTAACAAAAACTGGTTGGCATCATTTACTTAAAAATAAAACACATTTTGAAGATTATCTTAAACAAAATCAAATCGATAATCAAAATAAAGAAATATATGAATGGAATAATTATGAAAATATATTAAAATTAGAAACAAATTCAAACAAACGTTCATATAATGATTTACTTCAACGTTCAATTCAAGCATGTATGATTGGTATGTCTCTTATTAATAATACGTCATTTTCTCAAGAAGCATATGAAAAATTAGATTATCAAATATATATTTGTTCATTAATTTTATCTCATTTACAATCATTACCATGTAATGCACATGAAATATCGGAATTTATTTATCATCGTTTAACACCATTATCATCATCTTGTAGTGAAATAGGTGCAGGTATATATGCAACATTAAGTTTATTTAATCATTCATGTAATCCAAATGTAATACGAAATTTTATTGGTGATACTGTTATTGTTCGTCTTCTTAGTTCTGTATCATCAAATGATATTGAATTAATGGATAATTATGGTTGTTTATCAGCAACAATGGATAAAGATGAACGACAAAAAAAACTTAATGAACAATATCATTTTCAATGTCAATGTCAACCATGTATTGAACAATGGCCACATTATGATCAATTACCAGAAGGAACAGGTGATAAAGATATTAATTCGAAATTATTTGATGAAGCATTTCAACGTTTAATTCAAGGAGATAATCCTCTAAAAGATGATTTAAATATATTTGAAGAATTTCTTGCACTATGTGATGGACAATTTCAAGAAGATAAAAAGCTGAAAGGAAAAGTTTATAATAATGCACAAGAAGCATATAAACAATGTTTGAATTTTTTTTCTCATTCATTTCATACAGAAGATTAAGTTTTATAAAAATCAACGATTTTTTTTATCTTAATTACTTTTTCTTTTAATAAAAAACACTAAAAATATTTATCGATTTCGAACAATTCAATCACTTCTCTCAATTACGACAAGAATGTATTTTCTGTTTTTATCAACAAAATTTGTTTCCACGTTCATCGACACGAATGTTTTTCTCATTTCGTCAACAATTTTTTTTATAAACAAAGAGAGAATAGAGCACATCAAGGTACTTGTCACAATAGTGCATGATGATAACACCTAGAACGCTCTCGCCTGATTCATGAATTATTGAAATATATTCTCAGCTGTCTTGTTTGTGTTATTAAAAAGTTTTTGTTCTAATAAACTATTATTTCTTTTTCTTCATATAACCTTGTTGTACGTAAAATGTCGATGAAATGAGAAGCAAAATTTCTGTCGACGAAAGAGGAAGATACCTACAAAAAATATTCAATATTTCACATTACTTGTATAAATCAATCAATGGAAATTATCCTATTGCATATAGACATATAACTTAACCATTGAACAAAGTACTCAGAAAATATCGACTGAGTTTGAATTACAAATGAAGGCGAGACGATCGATGAGAAACTTTTGTTATACGATAGTTTTTAATTAAAATGGATATCAGATGTCAGAAACAGTGCACTTGACTATATCAATCCTATGATCGTATGTTAAAATAACATTATATGTCAACAAATACAAGATTTTATCAATAATTTCCAGGAAATTGGTTGTTTTGTTCATAGAATATAAAAAATTAAGAATTCTTTTTACAAGAATATGTAAATGCTCATTGTGTTTTTCGTAGCTCGATTTCTAGCTATGATATTGTTATGGTAAGAAAAGTAGAACATAGATTTAGTCAGGCGAAATGACATGAGTGGAACTTAATACATGAATACAAAGACT